TGCAGAGGCTCAAGAGTGTGATGCAGAGGCTCAAGAGAGTGATGCAGAGGCTTAAGTGAGGGATGCAGAGGCTCAAGAGAGTGATGCAGAGGCCCAAGAGAGTGATGCAGAGGCCCAAGAGAGTGAAGCAGAGGCCTTTTGGCCCATACCAGACAGCAGCTATTTACATCCACCTAAACTCATTCCATATATATATACTGTGTATCTAACCTACGCTTGAAACACTCAAGAGATCCCACTTCCACTATGTTACGCGGCAATTGGTTCCACAAATTAACAACCCTGTTACTGAACCAGTATTTACTCAGGTCTTTCCTAGTCTAAATTTCCTAAAGAAATTGAAATTGAAATTGAAATAAGTTTATTGAGGTAAAATACACACAAAGGGATGAGGTAGCTCAAGCTATTCTCACCCCGTTTTCACTTCCTAAAGAAGGCACCAAGCTGGGAAGATATGCAGCACCTTCAGTGTCGCTAGATATTCAAATGGCACTAAATATAACTGAGGATACCAATATGAAAACAAAAAGCATAAGGCAAGCAATATTAAAGGTATCGGATTCACTAAGGATTCTATCGAGACACAATTGACCACGACGGACAGTTTGGAAGCGACGCTCAAATGTCCTGAAAATCCGGACATTCTAAAAGAGGTGAATGACTAAGAGGGGCGCTGCAGTTTGGACAATAAGAAACAGGGTGGCATGCCATTAAGTGCCAATTAGACAGTGTATATAGCCGATATGTAACTTAGTCAAAGCAGTTTCCCACCATCAATTACGGTGGTAGGAGGAAGGCCAAGGGGACGGGTCTACCCTTAAGAGCACTTGGTTTGTTACTGGTAACACAAGACCACCGACCCTGCCAACAGTCTCGGATCGAGGAATGAATAACCAGGTACAAATCTGAATAAGGAATGTCTTTTTGGTCAGTAGGACAAGTGTGAATAGCCTCCTTAGCGCCAGTGTCTGCAGGCTCATTCAAAATACCGTACAAGTCGACATTTGAAGCCTAAAAGCACGTCTTCTAAACCAGGAGTCAAATTGTCCACCAAATATAAAATGTGAACCATTTCCACAGAGATAAACTAGTGAAACGACCGACTCTCGTTGTACACCTCTTGCCACACTTCTCCCAGCCTAGGAAGGGAGGGAGGCAGGCACGCAGGGAGAGGAGGGGGGAGGGAGCCAGTGAGGAAGAGGAGGGAGGCAGGCGGGCAAGGTGGGTGGGCACACATGGATGGGCAGGCAGCCAGAAAGGGAGGGAAGGGAGGCAGGCAGCCAGAAAGGGAGGGAAGGAGGCAGGCAGCCAGAAAGAGAGGGAGGGAAGAACTAACCCCAATGTTAAATGCTGTTCACCTGTATAAACTCCTACCCTTTCTATTGGGTAAATAGAATAAATAAATCAACCTTACTCATTTATCATTATCTATAAGAGAGAATGTGTGTGTGTGTGTCCCAACTTGTATGTGTCTGCCTGTCTGCCTGCCTGCCTGCCTGCCTGCCTGCCTGCCTGCCTTGAGGTGTTTCATGGGCTTAGCGTCCCCGCAGCTCGGTCGACCTCCTCGCTGCTGGTCTAAGTTAAATGCTTTAACAAATATTGGTAATTACAAACCCGTTTTCATTTATGTCAAGGCCGTTTTCATTGGCGTCTTTCATCGAGTCGAGTGTGAAATCATGGCACGTGATTAACTTGCAGTTGTTATTGAAAAGAAACTGGAATGGAAAAAGAGAGAGAAGGGAGAAGCAAAGTGCCTGAGACCCCCATACAGTATTTGGGTTTCTGTGCTTCTTGAGAAATGCAGGGGGGGGGGGGGAAGGGGAAGGGTGAAGAGATAGCTAGCTAGATATTGAGATAAAGACAGGTAGAGATAAAGATAGGAAGAGATAAAGAGGGAAGACAAGCATTGCCGGGTATCCCCTTAGTATATTATAATCATCCTATCACTAGCTTTTACCTACTTTATCTGCAATCTCTTCCTTCTAGATAAAGGTCAGGAGCATAAAAATAGTAATATTCCTTGCATAACAGATAACAAACTCACAGGCTAATAGACCTTCTATTATCTGTCTTTTACCATATACTGTACTGCATAAATCCTTGCAGAATCATTTACCTCTGTTTCCCCTCACACTGTACCCACTTACGCAACATATTGTATTCCGACAACTTGAGAAAGGCTGAAAACTTCCTTATCATCAGATATCTGGCATAAAACAATTACCTGAATAACTCCATCGGTGGCAGCAGACGCTAGCCGTGCCTCTCCGAGCCAGAGAACTTGCCGGCTACTTTTGATCTCTTTGCTCATCACCCGCACACGCCGAACACTTATATGACTGCCAGGCTGCGAAGATAAACAACAACAAACTTTGACAACCGTGTATTAAAAATGGTTTACTAAACATAATGGCTCTGCCAAGCATCTACAGTAAATGGGAAACCTGAGGGTAAACCTCGAACACAAAACTTAATGCTCTGATAGATAAATTAATGTAATCACATAGGAAAGGGCAAACATAGTTCCAATCTATAAAAATGGTAAACCCCTTTTAATTATAGATCTGTATCACTGACAAGTGTGGGAGTTAAAACACTAAAAAAAATAATTAAAACTAAATCGGTTCAACACACTTTGCAAGTGATTTATTGAGGTTCATATCCTGGCCAGGGAGAATTGACTAGGCACCAGTCCTTAACTGTATGGCCATGTCATGGTACAGTTGACTATGGCGCATCTGGGAACACTTAACGCATAGGTTCCAACCCTCATCAAGGCCCTTGTGGATTTGTTCATTTGATATGCAGTGGCGCCTCGATTAACAAATTTAATCCATTCCAGCACCAAGCTCGTGATGTGAAACGCTCATTTTGTGAAACAACAACGACATTGTTATCAGAGGCTTCCGAGAACCAACGGGACCGCTAGAAAGCACCATGTGGGTTACTTGTTAATCGAACGAAAGTTCGTTAATCGAGACAAATTTTCTGGGAGTGGCTCTTTCGTTAATCGAAATGCTCGTAACTGGAGTCGCTCGTTACTCAAAATGCTCGTAACTGGAGTCACTCGTTACTCGAAATGCTCGTAACTGGTATCTTGAGATGATTTTGGGGCTCAGCGTCCCCATGGCCCGGTCCTCGACCAGGCCTCCTTTTTTAGTTACACATCCCCAGGAAGCAGCCCATAGCAGCTGTCGGGTAACTCCCAGGTACCTATTGACTGCTAGGTAACAGGGGCATCAGGGTGAATGAAACATTTTGCCCATTTGTCTCCGCCTCCACCAGGAAGGCACAGACAAATGTCCCTATACGTCCCTTATACGTCCCCTATAAATGTCCCCTTGTCCCTATACTTTTCCCATGCCTTGTTTGCCTTCTCCTTTCTTCTTCCCACTCTTGAACCATGAGCTTCCTGTTCTCCTTTTAACACTTCCCAGGAGCCAGTCGGCCGAGCGGACAGCACACTAGACCTGTGATCCTGTGGTCCTGGGTTCGATCCCAGGCGCCGGCGAGAAACAATGGGCAGAGTTTCTTTCACCCTATGCCCCTGTTACCTAGCAGTAAAATAGGTACCTGGGTGTTAGTCAGCTGTCACGGGCTGCTTCCTGGGGGTGGAGGCCTGGTCGAGGACCGGGCCGCGGGGACACTAAAGCCCCAAAATCCTCGCAAGATAATCCCTCCTGAAAGGTATGAATTGTCGAGTTGCTTCTTTGTATTTGTGTGTTAGGAGTTGCTGTGTGCTGTGTGTCAGCCTCACGCGCTGACTTTCCTTCCATATTATTCTGCCCTTGAACCTGCATATAATCCCTAACCCTCTACTGTATTCTCATTTTCTTGATCCGGCTTCCAACTCTTAAGTTCTACAATATAATAGCTTCAAAGCTTCGGTCTCTGCCCAAAATGCTTTGCGTAATAGTGGCTTTAGGCATTTTATGTACTATGCAGGCAATGAGTCACAATAACATGGCTAAAGTATGTTGACCAGACCACACACTAGAAGGTGAAAGGACGACGGCGTTTCGGTCCGTCCTGGACCATTCTCAAGTCGATCGTGAGAATGATCGACTTGAGAATGGTCCAGGACGGACCGAAACGTCGTCGTCCCTTCATCTTCAAGTGTGTGGTCTGGTCAGCATTGTATGTACTAGCTCTATTTATAAATCCCATCAACGCTTTGTATCTCACCTTGTATGTATGTACTTTACCTGAATCAATATTTGTATTTGTATAATTAAACCTGATAATGCAGTAGCCACTGAAGAGCGACACATCATAGTTTATGCTCTCTACGTCACCTTCATTTTGGGTAAACACCAGGGCAAGGGTAGCTGGTTGATCACCACCACCACCACCACCACCACCACCACCACCACCACCACCACCACCACCAGGTCTAGTGTAGCTGGTTGATCACCACCACCACCACCAGGGCTAGGGTAGCTGGTTGATCACAACCACCACCACCACCAGGGCTAGGGTAGCTGGTTGATCACCACCACCACCACCACCACCAGGGCTAGGGTAGCTGGTTGATCACCACCACCACCACCAGGGCAAGGGTAGCTGCTTGATCACCACCACCACCAGGGCTAGGGTAGCTGGTTGATCACCACCACCACCACCACCAGGGCAAGGGTAGCTGGTTGATCACCACCACCACCACCACCAGGGCTAGGGTAGCTGGTTGATCACCACCACCACCACCAGGGCAAGGGTAGCTGGTTGATCACCACCACCACCACCACCACCAGGGCTAGGGTAGCTGGTTGATCACCACCACCACCAGGGCTAGGGTAGCTGGTTGATCACCACCACCACCACCACCACCACCACCACCACCAGGGCTAGGGTAGCTGGTTGATCACCACCACCACCACCACCACCATCACCACCAGGGCAAGGGTAGCTGGTTGATCACCACCACCACCAGGGCAAGGGTAGCTGGTTGATCACCACCACCACCAGGGCTAGGGTAGCTGGATGATCACCACCACCACCACCACCACCACCAGGGCTAGGGTAGCTGGTTGATCACCACCACCACCAGGGCTAGGGTAGCTAGTTGATCACCACCACCACCACCACCAGGGCAAGGGTAGCTGGTTGATCACCACCACCACCACCACCACCAGGGCTAGGGTAGCTAGTTGATCACCACCACCACCAGGGCTAGGGTAGCTGGTTGATCACCACCACCACCACCAGGGCTAGGGTAGCTGGTTGATCACCACCACCACCACCACCAGGGCAAGGGTAGCTGGTTGATCACCACCACCACCACCACCAGGGCTAGGGTAGCTGGTTGATCACCACCACCACCAGGGCTAGGGTAGCTGGTTGATCACCACCACCACCACCACCAGGGCTAGGGTAGCTGGTTGATCACCACCACCACCACCACCACCAGGGCTAGGGTAGCTGGTTGATCACCACCACCACCACCACCACCACCACCACCACCACCACCACCACCACCAGGGCTAGGGTAGCTTGTTGATCACCACCACCAGGGCTAAGGTAGCTAGTTGATCACCACCACCACCACCACCAGGGCTAGGGTAGCTGGTTGATCACCACCACCACCACCACCAGGGCTAGTGTAGCTAGTTGATCACCACCACCAGGGCTAAGGTAGCTAGTTGATCACCACCAGGGCTAAGGTAGCTAGTTGATCACCACCATCAGGGCTAAGGTAGCTAGTTGATCACCACCATCAGGGCTAAGGTAGCTGGTTGATCACCACCACCACCACCAGGGCTAGTGTAGCTAGTTGATCACCACCACCACCACCACCAGGGCTAAGGTAGCTAGTTGATCACCACCACCAGGGCTAAGGTAGCTGGTTGATCACCACCACCACCACCAGGGCTAGTGTAGCTAGTTGATCACCACCACCAGGGCTAAGGTAGCTAGTTGATCACCACCAGGGCTAAGGTAGCTAGTTGATCACCACCATCAGGGCTAAGGTAGCTAGTTGATCACCACCATCAGGGCTAAGGTAGCTGGTTGATCACCACCACCACCACCAGGGCTAGTGTAGCTGGTTGATCACCACCACCACCAGGGCTAGGGTAGCTGGTTGATCACCACCACCACCAGGGCTAGGGTAGCTGGTTGATCACCACCACCACCAGGGCTAGGGTAGCTAGTTGATCACCACCACCACCACCACCAGGGCAAGGGTAGCTGGTTGATCACCACCACCACCACCACCACCAGGGCTAGGGTAGCTAGTTGATCACCACCACCACCAGGGCTAGGGTAGCTGGTTGATCACCACCACCACCACCACCACCACCAGGGCTAGGGTAGCTGGTTGATCACCACCACCACCACCACCAGGGCAAGGGTAGCTGGTTGATCACCACCACCACCACCACCAGGGCTAGGGTAGCTGGTTGATCACCACCACCACCACCACCACCAGGGCTAGGGTAGCTGGTTGATCACCACCACCACCACCACCAGGGCAAGGGTAGCTGGTTGATCACCACCACCACCACCACCAGGGCAAGGGTAGCTGGTTGATCACCACCACCACCACCACCAGGGCTAGGGTAGCTGGTTGATCACCACCACCACCACCACCAGGGCTAGGGTAGCTGGTTGATCACCACCACCACCACCACCACCAGGGCTAGGGTAGCTGGTTGATCACCACCACCACCACCACCACCAGGGCTAGGGTAGCTGGTTGATCACCACCACCACCACCACCACCACCACCAGGGCTAGGGTAGCTTGTTGATCACCACCACCAGGGCTAGGGTAGCTGGTTGATCACCACCACCAGGGCTAAGGTAGCTAGTTGATCACCACCACCACCACCACCAGGGCTAGGGTAGCTGGTTGATCACCACCACCACCACCACCAGGGCTAGTGTAGCTAGTTGATCACCACCACCAGGGCTAAGGTAGCTAGTTGATCACCACCAGGGCTAAGGTAGCTAGTTGATCACCACCATCAGGGCTAAGGTAGCTAGTTGATCACCACCATCAGGGCTAAGGTAGCTGGTTGATCACCACCACCACCACCAGGGCTAGTGTAGCTAGTTGATCACCACCACCACCACCAGGGCTAAGGTAGCTAGTTGATCACCACCACCAGGGCTAAGGTAGCTGGTTGATCACCACCACCACCACCAGGGCTAGTGTAGCTAGTTGATCACCACCACCAGGGCTAAGGTAGCTAGTTGATCACCACCAGGGCTAAGGTAGCTAGTTGATCACCACCATCAGGGCTAAGGTAGCTAGTTGATCACCACCATCAGGGCTAAGGTAGCTGGTTGATCACCACCACCACCACCAGGGCTAGTGTAGCTGGTTGATCACCACCACCACCAGGGCTAGGGTAGCTGGTTGATCACCACCACCACCAGGGCTAGGGTAGCTGGTTGATCACCACCACCACCAGGGCTAGGGTAGCTAGTTGATCACCACCACCACCAGGTCTAGTGTAGCTGGTTGATCACCACCACTGAGAATACTTTATTGACCAGTCTATTTCCCCCGTGGTTAAAATTATTAAGATTGATTGATTGATAAAGATTAAGCCAGCCAAAAGGTGGCACGGGCACGAATAGCCCGTAAGTGGTGGCCCTTTTGAGCCATTACCAGTATCAAGAGCTGATACTGGAGATCTGTGGAGGTGGGACTGCACCCTGCATGACGGGAGATGTCTCCCCCGTGTAAAATTATTTGTATTAGGATATTTGCTCTGGCTTTCCTTGTGGCTGTCTTTTGAATTATCTTCGGGCATTTTTCATTGCATTTATTATATACCTCCCATGACCTTGCTATAGTTAATGGAGGCTTGTAAATAACACCTACTGCTTTCTTCATGGTCCCCACTGTTATCACATCTAAGTACAAAGTCTTGCTGGTTAGTTACAACAAAAATCTCTATCTCCTCAAAACTCCTCAAACAAAAACTCTATCTCCAAAAAACTCATGTTGTTGAATTCGTAGAGCTGCTTCTCTTCTTCTCCACTCCCCTGTTTACCCTTTCTTTTCTTACTATTTGGTATCCTCTTAGGAATATTGCATCCTCTATTACGTTCGTCAGTTTTGTCTCCATATCTGCAATGAAGATACAGAGGCCAGCTGGGGTTTGGCCCCAAATGCCGAGCAGCAAAAACCCCTAAGGTAATGGTTCCTGAACGTACCAGGAAAGAGAACCCTAACACCCCAAGGGCAGTACTCACAGGGAGCCTAGGGAAGGATGACCCTAAGCGCATGCAGCCCTGGTACTCTAGAGGACCACCTGGCCACCACACACAACAACACCCCAGAGGACACCAAGAAGGCAAATCACTGCATGGAAAGCGAGGCCAGAGAAGATGTCCGCCCTGGTTCGCATTGGTTGACGAACTGGAGTGCTAGGTAGCCAGCGCGGGGGTACTGGGGCTCCTCCCTCCCCCTCTCAGGGAGAGGAGGGCTGCGTGGACGAGCAGCGTGACTACAAGGTGTGACATTTGCTTGTTTCCCTGGGATTGGAAGGCGTTCTACCGCCCTGTTCAGTTTTCGATTGCAATTTTCTTACCACATGGGGTCTGTTTTGTTATGCCTACCCTTCTGGGTGCTTAACCCCAGTCAATGGCAGATAAGAAAAAAAAAACCATAGGGGAGGGGTTTTCCAAGGCCTTGCTCCCTGTGCCTCCCTGAGGGGGTCAGGTTCTGGCTCATCGTCCCCAGTAGGCTGAACTCCATAGACTAATGCCCCGGTCTAATGATTCTCATATTAGCCCAATAGCTCCAGGGAGCCGAAGGGACTTCCCTCAGAAAATTAAGCTAAAACCAAACAAATATTCCGAGGCCTAGTATAGCATATACATGTACTAAATTATGCCTCAGATAGCATGTATTAGGCCTAAGAGGGTTAGGTTAACTTTTCCACTTTGTCCAAATTCAATTGTAGCAATTTCTACTCTCTAATCAACCCGTCCTCTTAAAAATAACGTCACTTTTGGCTCGTATGCGCGATATGGCTAAATTTGGACGTAATTTGAAATGAAATTGACTCACAAAAGTGACGTTCTGTTCCGTTTTCTATTTGAGTCGTCCGGCGTACGCGCAGAGGCTATAAGAGGACACTTTAAATTAACGTTTTTCATAACGTTTTGAAACTTTATGAGAATTTCCTGCCCACCTAACCTATCAGAGGACCCTTAACTTACTGTTGTTGAAAAAAAAAAATCCCAAATTTATTTTCATTTTTTTTTTCATTTTCAAATTACATCCAAATTCGGCCATACGGGCAAACGGCCAAAAGCAACGTTCTTTTTAAGAGGACAGGTTGCTCTAATTGCGTGTTATGTCGATATACGCCCCGTGGTGCTCATCGTTACCCCTAAGTACAACCTAAACAGGCGGACGGGCTTTATTTTGCCTCACTCAAGGTGGCACCGTACAGCTTGGCTTCCAGAATTGGGTTGGATGTCCTTCCCTTGTCTCTGGGTGCCGAGCTAACGGACACTACCGCCATAGGCACGCATCCCTTGTCTCTGGGTGCCGGGCTAACGGACACTACTGTCATAGGCACGCATCTTTTGTCTCTGGGTGCCGGGCTAATGGACACTACCGCCATAGGCACACATCCCTTGTCTCTGGGTGCCGGGCTAATGGACACTACTGTCATAGGCACACATCCCTTGTCTCTGGGTGCCGGGCTAATGGGCACTACCGTCATAGGCACGCATCCCTTGTCTCTGGGTGCCGGGCTAATGGGCACTACCGTCATAGGCACACATCCCTTGTCTCTGGGTGCCGGGCTAATGGACACTACCGCCATAGGCATGCATCCCTTGTCTCTGGGTGCCGGGCTAATGGGCACTACCGTCATACACACATCCCTTGTCTCTGGGTGCCGGGCTAATGGGCACTACCGTCATAGGCACGCATCCCTTGTCTCTGGGTGCCGGGCTAATGGGCACTACCGTCATAGGCACGCATCCCTTGTCTCTGGGTGCCGGGCTAATGGGCACTACCGTCATACACACATCCCTTGTCTCTGGGTGCCGGGCTAATGGGCACTACCGCCATAGGCACACATCCAAATACATTTTTGTCCTTCCGAGTCTTGTTTGTTTTTACAGCAGTGTTATACGGTCAAAATATATAATACATATAACATCATTTTCAGTGTATTAAATAAGGTCAGAAAAGTAAGTGGAGACACCAAACCAAAATAGAACATTTGGATGTAATGAACCGCCCCATTCCTGACAGTAACTCCTGGTTCCGAGCCTGTAACTTGCTGTGGGTCAAGCGCACCAGTGCCTAGTTATATCCCCCACTCTCTTCCCATGCTCAGTTAAGGATGCAACACCACTGGAAAAAAGTTCTTGTCCTCAGTGTGTAGAGATAGTCCCAAGAACCCGGCGGCCATATTCACGAAGCAGTTACGCAAGCACTTATGAACCTGTCCATCTTTTCTCAATCTTTGGTGGCGTTGTTTACAATTATTATACAGTTAATGAGCTCCGAAGCACCAGGAGGCTATTTATAACAATAACAACAGTTGATTGGCAAGTTTTCATGCTTGTAAACTGTTTAATATATGTAACCAAAGCTGTCAATGATTGAGGAAAGATGTACAAGTTCGTAAGTGCTTGCGTAACAGCTTCGTGAATCCTGGTCCAGGTGCATCAAGAATGGCCTTAGCATATCATTACCAAAAGCCGAGGCAAGCTACTGAGAGGGTTAAGATATATTAGTATAAGATAGAAAGATATATTAGCTTTTGATATTTGTGAAAATATCTGAAAACAGATTTACTATACATATGTTTCTAAACCTGTACAATGCTACATATGAGCAGCTTACCTTTGGTGGGTAAAACTGAAAGATCCTGAGGTTTCCCTTAACAATATAGACGATCCATAGAGACTGAGGAGAGACAGCACACCATTCTATCACCTCATCTTCGTGAGCACCAAGTTCAAGCAATTTAACACGATCCTGAAATCAATCAATTAAATTCTAAAACAACTTCATACAAATATATTTTTTTGACTACATTTTCTCTAAGTCTTAAGTTGGGGTCTTAAAGCCAAGACCCAACCAAAACTGCTTCACAGCCATATGAGGAGGAAAACCGCAGTGAAGGAACATGTGATAAAACTGAGAAAAGGGGAGAACAGATACACAGAGAATAACAAGGAGGTGTGTGAAGAATGTAACAAGAGATTCCAGGAGGTCTTCACAAAAGAGCAAGAAGTCCCTGTACTGAAAGAGGTGATGGCAAACCAAGCAAAATTGGAGGAATTTGAGCTCACCAGTGATGAGGTTAAAAGGAATCTGTTGGAGACGAATGTGACAATGGCTGTTGGGCTGTTGGGCCCGACAGAATCTCACCGGGGATACTAAAAAAAAGGTGTAGAAGCACTAAGTGTGCCACTGTCTATGGTGTATAACAGGTCACTGTAAACAGGAGACCTACTGGAATGCTGAAAGACAGCTAATGTAGTCCCAATATACAAAAAAGGGTGACAGGCAAGGAGTACTGAACTACAGACCAGTTTCCTTAACTTTTTTACAATGCAAGATGATGGAGAAGATCGTGTGGGAAAAAGCACGTAGAACATCTGAAGAGGAGCTTTGTAACACACAACCAACATGGGTTTAGGGATGGTAAATCGTGCCTCACATTCTTGATAATTCTACGACCAGGAGACAAAATTAGGCAAGAATTTTGTAAAAATTATGAGAAGAATCAAGGCAAAGGAAGAAAGAGACAACAAAATGACCTGGACAATCTGAAGGGGTCTAGAAAATGGCTACTACAATTTAACTGAAGTAAGAGTAAAGTAATGAAATTAGGTGAAGGTAGCACGGAGAACGACCTTCATGCACAAACACAATCTTGGTTATCTTGAGGTTATCTTGAGATGATTTCGGGGCTTTAGTGTCCCCGCGGCCCGGTCCTCGACCAGGCCTCCACCCCCAGGAAGCAGCCCGTGACAGCTGACTAACAACCAGGTATCTATTTTACTGCTAGATAACAGGGGGCATAGGGTGAAAGAAACTCTGCCCATTGTTTCTCGCCGGCGCCCGGGATCGAACCCAGGATCACAAGTCCAGCGTGCTGTCCGCTCGGCCGACCGGCTCCCTTACAACGCACCATCTGGAGGTGAAATCCTTCAAGAGTCAAGTATAAAGATCTGGTGAGTGATATCACAACGAACCTGTCCCCAGAAACTCACATTAAATGGATCTCATCAGTGGCATATGCCAGATTGGCACACATCAGAACTGCCTTTAGAAACTTGAGAGAGGAATCATACAGAACCTTGTATACCACATATATCAGACCAATCCTGAAGTATGCAGCTTCAGCCTAGAGACCATACTTAGTAAAACATCAGACAAAGTTAGAGAAGCTTCAGAACTATACCACCAGACAAGTCCCAGAGCCGAGAGGTACAAGTTACAAGGAAAGGCTACGGAAATTAAACCTCACGTCCCGAGGTTTAATTTCCGTGCTGTCCACTCGGTGGACGGCACGCTGGACTTGTGATCCTGTGGTCCTGGGTTCGATCCCAGGCGCCGCAGAGAAACAATGGGTAGAGTTTCTTTCACCCTATGCCTCTGTTACCTAGCAGTAAAATAGGTACCTGGGTGTTAGTCAGCTGTCACGGGCTGCTTCCTGGGGGTGGAGGCCTGGTCGAGGACCGGGCCGCGGGGACACTAAAGCCCAGAAATCATCTCAAGATAACCTCAAGATATAACCTCCCTGAAAGGCACAAGTGAGGGGAGACATGGGCACCACCTACAAAATTCTCAGAGGAATTGACAGGGTGGACAAAGACGAACTATTTAGCATGGGCAGAACACAAACAAGGGGACATAGGTGTAAACTTACCACTTTTGCTGCCTGATGCCGCATGTTGCGACATAAAACCAAAATGCCCGATAACGCAAATAGGCGTAAATAATTTAAAAACGCTGTAAATTGACTTCCAGATGGATACTGATCAAGAACAGAGCCAATCCATGATAAAAGCATTGAAAAAAACACGTATGAGAGAAAAGTTATAGAATTTTCATCGAAGGTATAGAAAAGTGAGACTTATATGTTCTAATATGCAAAAATCCCTTTACGGCATTCTATTGCGAACAATTTGACACCAAATTGAATGACGTAGTACGAAAATTGAGGCGAGAAATCTAAAAAAAGAATAAACATTTGTGGGCAGTGGTGGGTTCACGCGCACCACTCAGCCTACCTTGAGGTGCGCAGTGGGTCACCCGCTGGGCCAGCGAAAGTGTTAATGCTCAAATGAGCTATACACATTAAAAACAAAATTCAGTGTCAGAGTAGTTAACAAATTGGATGCATTAGTCAGTGATGTGGTTAATGCTCCATACACAATTTTAAATGTAGATATGATAAGAGAGCCCAGTAGGCTCAGGGCTATTGGGCTCTAGAGGGCCAGGACCAAAGAGCTGAAGTTCAACAACATCAAGCACAACTAGATGAGTACAGCTAGACGAGTACAAGCCCCAACCAAAATACATCTCCAAAAAGCTACAAGATAGGAAGAAGGCTCGTAGGTTACACATGTGAGGACAAGACCAATACAGTGAATTTCTATCTAGTTTTGATCTGGTTCAAAATTGTATATACTGTACTATGGACTTTACAACGGAAAATATTATAGTAGCCATTTTTGTAGAATATAACACTGTGGGTCAAACCAGACCGAAAAGTTATAATAAATGTGTTTAACTAATTTTGGAAGATGGCTATAGCAATCTACGAAATACATGTCAAACTCTCAGTACTTGAACATTTGTAACAATGCTGCCAAATCATTCCCAAGCATATTTACAGCATTCAGAGGTTTTGTTATCTAGAAAAGTATTGGAGTCATATTACAGAAGTATCCGCTCCAAGGCAACAAATATGCCCCACCAGCAGCACCTCCAGTATGTCAGGTACAGTATGTGTTTGTTACCAGACCAAACACCATACACTCTCGCTCGGTGTAACGGAACAATGACATTATTTGTTGCCAGACCAAACACCAATACACTCTTGCTCGGTGTAATAGAACAATGACATTATTTGTTACCAGACCAAACACCAATTCACTCTTGCTCAGTGTAATAGAACACTGACTATTTGTGGAATTTCACACATCAATCAAACTAGTTCTAGTTTTAGAAATTGTGTCTGCATTAATAAGAGCTTAACCATTTAGCAGCGCAACAGCTGCAGAAACTTAAATACTAGCTTGTTGACCAGACCACACACTAGAAGGTGAAGGGACGACGACGTTTTGGTCCGTCCTGGACCATTCTCAAGTTGATTGTGAATGGTCGACTTGAGAATGGTCCAGGACGGGCCGAAACGTCGTCGTCCCTTCACCTTCTAGTGTGTGGTCTGGTCAACATACTTTAGCCACGTTATTGTGACTCATCGCCTGCTAAAATACTAGCTTATATGTTTGTAAAGGTAAAAAAAAACAAAAATTCATAAATGATTGACTGTATAGTTACTTTAGAGATGGGTAAGAATCGTCCTGTTGGTCCACCATCTTCACCAGAGCTTCCTAGCCGCCACAGCTCCAGGTGCTCGTTGTAGCGAAGAAGAATACTTTCTGCCTCTCCAGCAACTGATATCGATCCAGGCTGAAGGACGAAATAAAAACACTTCGGCTACAAACATGTTAAAACTGGTATTTTTCAAACATCCGACTATTCTTCCTCTTATGCAAATAATAAAGACTAGTAAAATAAGCTCTGAATAAAACATTTCTAATGTGCATAACATTTCATAGACAGGTCTTGAGTGAGTAGTTAAAAGTGTAACAACACAAATGAAATAAAATTACAATACCAACAATTATCTAGCACATTACACCGATACCAAAGAATAAACATTTCAAATTCAAAGCAACGTGACTTTTAAACATTAAGAAAACATTATCAGGAAACATCTACAGGGTCAGAATTAAAAAACTAATTATGTCGCCTCATTTATAAAACTACGTATTCTTATTAAGATCTATCTTGACTACGTAAGTTCCATAGCGCAGTGAGCCATGTCCTCGGCTCACAATCAAAGGAGCACTGACTCGGCCAGCGGCAAAATACAAATGCTCAAAAATGAACTGAGAATTCAATCAAAAGCTGTGGGTGACATGGGTGACTGTGGGTGAGGGAGCCGGTCGGCCGAGCGGACTGTACGCTGGACTTGTGATCCTGGGTTCGATCCCAGGCGCCAGCGAGAAACAATGGGCAGAGTTTCTTTCACCCTATGCCCCTGTTACCTAGCAGTAAAATAGGTACCTGGGTGTTAGTCAGCTGTCACGGGCTGCTTCCTGGGGGTGGAGTCCTGGTCGAGGACCGGGCCTCGGGGACACTAAAAAGCCCACAAATCATCTCAAGATAACCTCAAGATAGGAGACATGGCACCAAGTCACGAGTAAACATTGGTCAACATATGGCAAGGTTGACCAAGGTAGCTTAAGGTAGGTTGACCAAGTTCTAATAAACATGCTTCCTCTACACATAACTGGCCGACCCCTCACAGTGTCCAAGAGAGAACTATCAACATCAGAGGCCCGAGACTGTTCAACACGCTTCCACTACACATAACTGGCCGACCCCTCACAGTGTTCAAGAGAGAACTATCAACATCAGAGGCCCGAGACTGTTCAACACGCTACCACTACACATAAGGGACATAACTGGCCGACCCCTCACAGTGTTCAAGAAAGAACTATCAACATCAGAGGCCTGAGACTGTTCAACACGCTTCCACTACACATAACTGGCCAACCTATAACAGTGTTCAAGAGAGAACTATCAACATCAGAGGCCTGAGACTGTTCAACACACTTCCACTACACATAAGGGATATAACTGGCCGACCCCTCACAGTGTTCAAGAGAGAACTATAAACATCAGAGGCCCGAGACTGTTCAACACACTTCCACTACACACAACTGGCCAACCCCTCACAGTGTTCCAGAGAGAACTATCAACATCAGAGGCCCGAGACTGTTCAACACGCTTCCACTACACATAACTGGCCAACCTATAACAGTGTTCAAGAGAGAACTATCAACATCAGAGGCCCAAGACTGTTCAACACGCTTCCACTACACATAACTGGCCGACCCCTCACAGTATTCAAGAGAGAACTATTCAACATCAGAGGCCCGAGACTGTTCAACATGCTTCCACTACACATAATTGGCCGACCCCTCACAGTGTTCAAGAGAAAAGTACAGTACAACCTCGATTCAACGTACTATATGGGATCAACCCCAGTTCGCTGGAGCGTTGGATTCGTTGCAAGAGGTGACCTTCAGGAGGCGTTTGTGTCAGTGTCTTTTTTTTCTTGTACACAATAAAAATGCATTATCATATTGCATACTGTACCTATATATTACTTCTCTACTAAAAAATACTGTAATTCATAAATTTACCTTATTGTTGTAGTTATGTCCATCTAGAAGTTTCGTGACTTTGTGAATGCTGTACAGTAAATACGTACTGCAGGGCATTATGCCGTTAGCACTGTGTTGATTAAAAGTAGTTCTGCTGTATGTTGAGTACTACAATACAGTTCATGAAAACTATTGTACACTAAAATTAATGCAACTTTAATTTTAGCACTGTGTACACACTTAAATTTAACACTTGTTCTAACTGTTCACGCCGCACACGATGTTTTTAGATGTTTGCATCAGCTTTGCTGATGCTCACTGCTGCTGTGGGTTCAGCTGCATCTGAGCTGGTGCTGGCTGCTGTTGTACCAGTGCTGGGTACAACTGTGCTCGTGCTAGGTACGGCTGTTGTACCAGTGCTGGGTACATCTGTGCTTGTGCTGGGTACGGCTGTTCTCGTGCTGGGTACGGCTGTTCTTGTGCTGGGTACGGCTGTTCTCATGCTGGGTACGGCTGTTCTCGTGCTGGGTACGGCTGTTCTCGTGCTGGGTACAGCTGTTCTCGTGCTGGGTACGGCTGTTCTTGTGCTGGGTACGGCTGTTCTCGTGCTGGGTACGGCTGTTCTTGTGCTGGGTACGGCTGTTCTCATGCTGGGTACGGCTGTTCTCGTGCTGGGTCCGGCTGTTCTCGTGCTGGGTTCGGCTGTTCTCGTGCTGGGTTTGGCTGTTCTCGTGCTTGATATGGCTGTTCTCTTGCTGGGTACGGCTGTTCTCGTTCTGGGTACGGCTGTTCTCGTGCTGGGTACGGCTGTTCTCGTGCTGGGTACGGCTGTTCTCGTGCTTGGTATGGCTGTTATCGTACTTGGTATGGCTGTTCTCGTGCTGGGGTACGGCTGTTCTCTTGCTGGGGTACGGCTGTTCTCGTGCTGGGTACGGTTGTTCTCGTGCTGGTTGATTTTCTGCTATTAGTTCTTGCAAAATATTGCTTCATTTTTGGCATTAATAAGGCACTATTAGTAAGCCCCTGAGACATTTTGTTTTATAACCAAAGAGCTGTAGTAAAAAATGGTCAATTCCACAATTATTCTTCCACTGGCGGATAAATACTGTACGTCAATCGCAGACAAAGCTAAGGGCACTGGGTGCATACTGTACGAACGCAGACTAAGTCTATACGTACACCCTTCAGTAGGCTGGTGTTTAAGCCTGATCCAGTAACATAAATTTCTCTTAAATATTTGATTTAAATCAAATTATATATTTTTGGGTTATATATTTAGTTTAGCAACATTATTACGATAATAAGACCTATAAAAAATACTTATTTTGGAACCGATTTATTAATTTTATTATTTCGAAGCCGTAGATCACCGAACTGTGGCGACGAAATCGTACAAAACAAGCATGGTGGTGTGTGGACAGGGATTAGACCCGTCCACTCATGCATGAGTTGTGCCGCCAATAACGTGAATAATTTCTCAAATACTTTAACAGATATCTATCATATTACAGTATATTTTTTGTTTTATTTAGTTTAGTTTAATTAGGATAATAAAGAGTTATTAAAACACCAGTTTTAGAAATGATTTATTAATGTGAAACATTCAAAGTCATGGGTCACTGAACTATGACAACACAGACGAAAGTGAGTGAAACCTCACTGTAAAGTGAAGTTTACTCTACAATATTCCCTTATGTGTTCACCCTCACTCGTCTTGTTTCATCACAGAAAATGTATATAAGATTTCAACACATTAGCTAACTATTCACGCTTCAACCTTTGAATTAATTTACAAAGATATGTGTGCGACCAATCGGTGAACGAAAATCATTGAAACTCATTCGTTCACTTGTGTGGACGACTCTGGCTGGTGTTTGGTTCATATGATTCACTTGTTGTGTGGTCCACTTGTGTGATCCAACTTGTCTTATGAAGGAATTATTAATTGTAATCTGTGATAGAATGAGACAGTTTTCAACCACTCTGTGAACTCTGTCCCAATATCGTAAGCTTGTGGACCACTTGTGGTCCACTTGTGTGATCCAACTTGTCATATGAAGGAATTAATAATTGTAATCTGTGAAAGAATGTGAAAGTTTTCCACCAATCTGTGAACTCTGTCTGGACGTCGTAAGCAAATCCGAACATCCCCCGCTTCGGCGAACCATTGTTCGTCGAATCGGGTGAGTAAATCCGGCCTGAAAAGTGTGCGAACTAACTGGAGATTCGTTGAATCAAGGTACGTTGAATCGAGGTTGTACTGTATCAACATCAAAGGCCCGAGACTTCAACATGCTTCCACTACACATAAGGGACATAACGGGCCGACCCCTCACAGTGTTCAAGAGAGAACTATCAACATCAGAGGCCTGAGACTGTTCAACAAGCTTCCACTGCACATAAGGAACATAACTGGCCGACCCTTCACAGTGTTCAAGAGAGAACTATCAACATCAGAGGCCCGAGACTGTTCAACACGCTTCCACTACACATAACTGGCCGACCCCTCACAGTGTTCAAGAGAGAACTATCAACATCAGAGGCCTGAGACTGTTCAACAAGCTTCCACTGCACATAAGGAACATAACTGGCCGACCCTTCACAGTGTTCAAGAGAGAACTATCAACATGAGAGGCCCGAGACTGTTCAACACGCTTCCACTACACATAACTGGCCGACCCCCCTCACAGTGTTCAAAAGAGATCTCGATAAACATCTCCAAAGGATACCTGATCAACCAGGCTGTAACTCATACGTCAGGCTGCGAGCAGCTGGGTCCAACAGCCTGGTTGATCAGTCCAGCAACCAGGAGGCCTGGTCGACGACCTGGCCGCGGGGGACGCTAAGCCCGGGAAACACCTCAAGGTGAGGTAGGGGCCTAACGGCTGAGTGGACAGCGCTTTGGCTTCGTAGTCCTGAGGTTCCAGGTTCAATCCCTGGTGGAGGCAAAAACAAATGGGCAGTTTCTTTCAGCCTGATGCTCCTGTTCACCTAGCAGTCAACAGGTACCTGGGAGTTAGACAGCTGCTACGGGCTGCTTCCTGGGGATGTGTAACAAAAAGGAGGCCTGGTCGAGGACCGGGCCGCGGGGACGCTGAGCCCCGGAAACACCTCGAGGTAACCTCAAGAAGGTACTGCCTCAGCAATGCCATCAACGGCACCAACTTCCCACCAGTTTTCCAGCTCCAGATCTCTTCATATTTAGCATAAAGTGTTGTTGACCAGACCACACACTAGAAGGTGAAGGGACGACGACGTTTCGGTCCGTCCTGGACCATTCAAAATCGACTTGAGAATGGTCCAGGACGGACTGAAATGTCGTCGTCGTCCCTTCACCTTCTCGTGTGTGGTCTGGTCAACATACTTCAGCCACATTATTGTGATTCATCGCCTGCATAGCATAAAGTGTTATTACTTGTACTGTATTTTTAAATCTTTAGAGATTCTGAACGTTTATGGACTCCACAATTTGAGACTTTGAAACCTCAATTGCAATAAGCCTCCAAAGGATACCTGATCAAGCAGGCTGTGACTCAAACGTCAGGCTGCGAGCAGCCGCGTCCAACAGCCTAATTGATCAGTCCAGCAACCAGGAGGCCTGGTCGACGACCGGGCCGCGGGGACGCTAAGCCCCGGAAACACCTCAAGGTAACCCTCAAAGTAAGGTAGTATGAGTTTTCTTTAATGTACATTAATGGGCAAAAACTGAACTCTAATAAAAACATGACTAAGTACTCCAAAGTAAGAGACTCAATTAAGATCTAAGATAAGGAAATTTGAGTGCAAAATGTGAGGTAAAGTGACGGGGGCAAAATGACCATAAGATATGAAGAATGTTGAAGAACCTTACGCATTTCTTTTTATTTCCATAAAATTTCCATTTTATTTAGTTGAGTAAAGTCATCAGCATAAAGGTAGGTAGCATCACATACCGCAAAGATTCATTGAGAAAAATAAGGAACTATAAGGATCATTCATGCACGTATTACTTATGTATATTCTCAACCTGAACACAGTCAGTAAAGGTAATCATCACACCGCATCGCTCATTTACTCGTCAAAGAGAATATTCCATGTTTACGATAATACTGTATAGAGATGGTACAGGGAAATCATTTAAGCTGAATGTGCTGCCATCACTTTAACAATACTAATTAAATTGTAACTATCCACTGTACTAATATGTTAGTATTATTGTGGGTACAGCAAAATTGTTACAGAAGCCGAAATATCTTCTAAATTATTAACACGCACACACACACACTACTTACATGGGGAAGTGCTTGGAACTTTATGACAGTCTTTGGAGGATAGTAGCTCAACACAAGGACCGTGTCCACACCTGTGGAAAGTTTGCAAATACAATGAAAACTAATTTGTGTTCTGCAGAATCCAAAATACAAATCAAAGGCAAAGCCAAACATTATCTTAATGATACCTGAATACGTATATAAAAGTCAAACTAATAATTTGAAAAGGAACTACTACTTCTGGAGAGCAAGGTCACTCACAGACTCACATGAAGACTGTCCTAGGCTCAGGAACCTGGGGCCTGATTCACGAAGCAGTTATGCAAGTACTTACGAACGTGTACATCTTTCCTCAATGTTTGACGGCTTTGGTTACATTTATTAAACAGTTTACAAGCATGAAAACTTGCCAATCAGCTGTTGTTATTGTTATAAACAGCCTCCTGGTGCTTCGGAGCTCATTAACTGTTTAATAATTTGAAACAAAGCCGCCAAAGATTGAGAAAAGATGTAAACGTTCGTAAGTGCTTGCTTAAGTGCTTTCGTGAATCTGGCCCCTGTACATCAGTTGATTGACAGTCGAGAGGCGGGACCAAAGAGCCAGAGCTCAACCCCCGCAAGCACAACTAGGTGAGTACAATGACTCCAGATGTGAGGCCCAGGAGTCAGATTCACAAAACAGTTATGCAAGCACTTACGAACCTGTACATCTTTTCTCAATCTTTGGCGGCTTAGTTTACAATTAATGAACAATTATTGAGCTCTGAAGCACCAGGAGGCTGCTTATAACAATAACAACAGTTGATTGACAAGTTTCATGCTTGTAAACTGTTTAATAAATGTAACCAAAGCCGTCAAGCATTGAGGAAAGATGTACACGTTCGTAAGTACTTGCATAACTGCTTCGTGAATCTGGTCCCTGAGAGCTACTGAGACCTTGCTCACAAATTTCCATGAACCCTAAACACTTCTTTTAATTTCCATAAAATATCATTACATGTGTTTTTTATAACAAGGGTGCATTAAAATATATAAAAAATGTGTACACATTATTTTCTATATAAATATAAAATGGTTCAGAAAATGTGATAAAATTTCGTGACAATGCCATTTTAGCAGGATTTCAAATTAAGCAGACATCTTCTAGAACACATTTATCCAGATCAGAGAGTTTACATAATACAGTACAATATACAGGCGATGATTCACAATAACGTGGCTGAAGTATGTTGACCAGACCACACACTAGAAATTGAAGGGACGACGACGTTTCGGTCCGTCCAACCGGTGGTTATAATAGGAGCTGCCTCGTATGGGCCAATAGGCCTGCTGCTGTTCTCATTACTACTATCCCCTACACCTGACTTTCCTCCTCAGCTCTCTCTTGCCTATTTAATGCCTGTCCCTACCTGTCCTCATCACAATCGACTTGAGAATGGTCCAGGACGGACCGAAACGTCATCGTCCCTTCAATTTCTAGTGTGTGGTCTGGTCAACAATACAATATACAGTAAGCAGAGCAAAAATTGTCAAAACAAAATGTCATATTTTTTAAATAAAATTTACTGCTCAAGGTGAAAGATTTAATGTACACATATCAAAGTCCAACGGCTTGTTCCAAACATTCATATACTGTATTATTCTGGTAGCAAAATATTTCTGAATTTTCAGGGGGTTTTCCTTAGACCGAGATCTGGATTTTTGAGGTTCTATCGTATTGTATTGGGTTACCACAGAAAGCTAAGTATTGAATAGTTATTATGTAAACTTCACCTTCAAAAAAACAAACGTTGAATGTAATGAAACGTCATTTTCCGAAGGCACTACGGGCTCACCATAGCCCGTGCTACTTGGAACTTTGTTCCAGTTAGCAAATGTTTAACAACAAAAACAGTCATTTTCCGGGTGAGCCCCGGAGGCTCCCTGGTGCTATCAGGTTGATATGTGTTATCCGGGGCATCGGTCAATTGGATTTCAGCCTACCAGAGACCACGAGCCAGAACCTGGCCCCCCTCAGAGAGGCAAAGGGAGCAATAGAAACCCCCCCCATGTGTTTGGGGGCATTTTATGTCTGCCATCGACGGGACTGGCACCCAGAAAGGTAGGCGTAACAAAAATACCACACTTGGGTAAGAAAATACGACCAAAAACCGAACAGGGAGGCAAAACTCACCCTACAACTTAAGGAAACACGCAAATGTTACACCTCACTGCCGCACTGCCTGTCTGTGCAGCAAGAGAAAGCCCCGTACCCCCCCCCCCCCCTGGGGTCTACCCAAGCCATCCAGTTCGGAGGATGAGCATCAAAAATGGAAACGGAACCAGCGACCTGATTATGATTGTGTGCCCGACAAAAGGACGGACCCCACCGCCCCTCGCCAGCCTGGCGAGCACTGGCCACAAAGCCCCAGCCGGAGACGAGGCACCCGTAAACACATCGAGCGAGGGCTCAAGGAGGCGCCACGGCACTGAACCCTTAAAAAAAACGAAGAGGAAACCAGTGATGCAGCAACCGATGCAAGGCCCCCCCGGAGGCCGAACCCAGCGATCGCAAGAGAGACGGAAGGGAGGCCTCCAAAGAAACCAGAACAGACGCTGAAGTCAGACCCGACCCGGTGGGTAAACCGGCACAGCGAAGTTCAGACTCCTACATAACTGCTCGAGCAACAGTCAAATGACCCAACAACCCCCCACCCCCTCCAAAAAAAAAAAGGCAATGCCGAAGCCTCAGCAACGACTCCAGAGGGAGAGACAAGGAAATGGTCCTAAAGTCCCACACAAGACCCATCTAGGACAGAGCCTGGGATGGAACCAGATGAGACTGGAACCAGGAACCCGAACCCAGCAACCTGGAAAAGAACCACACCCCTGAGTGGACAGGGTGTGGTTCTGCTCTGTGGTCTGCTTGTCTGCTTGTCTGGCAAGCAGACAAACAGACCAACTGGGAGCCCACACCAACCAGTCATCGCTGTAGGCCAGAACCTGAACCCCTAGCAGACACAGACGGGTCACCACAACCTGGGTATGATGTGTGAATATGCGAGGTGCCAGATTCAAGATAAAATGGATGGCAACGAAAGTGGTAAGCCTGATGCCCCACAATGAAACCAAACCAGTCCCTGAACCCCAGATGAACAGGAACGTGCCAATACATGTCCCTAAGGTCCAGGAACACCATCCAGGCACACAGCTCCAAGAGAAGCCAGACCCAAGACAGAGTTGTCATCCAAAACGAGGAGCAAGGAATCCAGGGGTTCAGACGGGACAAGTCCAGCATGATCTTCAGATCCACACAGTCCTGTTTCAGCACTGTGGAAACACGTGGAAAACCCACCTCAGGGACGGGGTCGTTTTGACCACGCCCAAACGCTCTGAGATAAGCTGATGGAGCGCAGGGGAAGAAGCCTGCGAGCCCTGAAACTCCTGAAGGAGGAGCCGCCCAATGCCACCACAGGCCAGTGGAGACAACCCGAAACGCCCACAAATCGTGGGACCAAGTGTGAACAAACAGCGAGAGCTTGCTCTTCCCCCTCCCCATCGATCCGTCAACAGGGCGAACCGCGAAGGGACCGATGCCCCCGTATGAGAAGCCAACCAACGAACAGAGCGATCAATGCACAGACCAGACGATGTCAGCTCCAATGCCTGGTCAGAAGCTGGAACCAATGGCCCACCTCAACCAGCAGAGCCCCGAGCCCCTGGCACCACCCTTCCGAGAAAGCCGAGAACAGCCACCCTGGAGAATCAACAAGTCCGACACAGGATGAGAACTAGACGAAGCTCCCCGCAGAAAATGCATGAGAGCAGTTTCCACAAACAGCAACAGACAAAACGGCAATGAAAACCTAAGAGCCTGGACCCAAGTGGAATACAAAAAAAGAGCGAGCACAGCCTGACGGTTTGTGAGGCGAGAAGCAAAGAACAGAGACACCGTCTCCTTGAGAATCGGCGCAAAGGACTTCAACAGCGCAAGCTACGCCCGAGTCGCCGAGGTCAGCGCACCAGACGAAGCCCCGGCACTCAATGCCTCCACATCCTCCTCAAGCCAGGCCAAAGACAGCTCGAGAAGGGAAAAGAAGCGCAAGATCGAAGCCAAATGCCCACGGGCGCGCAAATCCTCGGTGACCTAGCACACCAAAAGGGAAAGGAACCAATACATGCCGCTGCATAAGGCTAACATCCGAAGAGAGCACAGGTGCGAACAATCACACATTATGGCGCTCAAACTCGCCCCTAGGGTAAAGCTGCTCAATAGTAGATGTTTCTCGCCAATCAAGCGTGCAGGTCCAACAGAACCCATGCCACATCCCCAGCGAAAAGAATGGGCAGTCTGCCAGCCAGGAAGCCTCCAGAACCTCCAAACGCACCCAATATGGGGAAGAAGAACCAAACTCAAACGAGGACGGATCCATCACGGAGGCAGAATCTGGGCCTATAGAAACCCTCAACCACACAGGGGTTTCTATAGGCCATTGCTTCCTGTGCCTCTCTGAGGGGCCCAGATTCTGGCTCGTGGTCCCCAGTAGGCTGAACCCCCAATTGACTGTTGCCCCAGATTAATATATAACACATATCAGCCTGATAGCTTCAGGGAACTGTAGCGGCTCCCCTCAGAAATACCTGCAAAAGATTTACTGAAAATTCATAAAAAGCTTAAAATTAAGGTGAGAGATTCAGAATTGCAAAAAGAGATCCAGCTAACAATACAATGCCATCAAATAAGTCACTGTATAAAGTATTAAGTCAATGAATTAACTTTATCAGAGAGCTGGATATATTTGGAAATGATGCTTATGTTAGCTCTCAAATTGTAAGATGGTTGGAGAATAGCCCATCACAGAGGTGGTTAGGCCTATGAGGTCACACGCCACAGAGCGGCAGTGCCCGTTCTCTGAAGTAGGCCTCAGTAAACTCAGACCTTAGACAAGGGTAAGACCTCGGGACCTCGGTGCACTGGATATACATAATTACCTCATCTAATAAAGTCCTGTGTATCTCTACAAGCACGAACAACCAGGTAACGAATACTTACCTCCGGAAAACATTTTGTCATCGCACGTGAGAGCGAGAGCGCGCACATCGTGCGTGTGTATGAGGCGCACATTTGACTTGACCCAGCACTCTTTTTTACCCGTCTTTGCTCCTGTTTGAACTTTGCTCACTTGCACGATGTGCGGATCAACACCTGTAAAGCAATATTCAAATCATTAGCTATACTCATATCTTGAGGTTATCTTGAGAAGATTTCGGGGCTTTTTAGTGTCCCCGCGGCCCGGTCCTCGACCAGGCCTCCACCCACAGGAAGCAGCCTGTGACAGCTGACTAACACCCAGGTACCTATTTCACTGCTAGGTAACAGGGGCATAGGGGGAAAGAAACTCTGCCCATTGTTTCTCGCTGGCGCCTGGGATCAAAACCAGGACCACAGGATCACAAGTCCAGCGTGCTGTCCGCTCGGCTCCCCGGCCGACCAGCGTTCAATCCCCGACCGTCCACAAGTGGCTAGGCACCATTCCTTCCAACCATCCCATCCCAAATAATTATCCTGACACCACCTTCCCAGTGTCATATAGTTGTAATGCCTTGGTGCTTTCCCCTGAAAATCCCTTCCTTCCTTAACATGAATACCATATTATTTGATAATGATGCAAAAATTAACAATTTTGAAGATCTAGGTAATACATTGTTTTGTCACGTACGTCAACAAATCAGGATTCACTTTCAACACCTAATGATACTAAAGATAAATACAAGAACATAAATGGCTTTAAATCATGTTTAAAATAATATAAATACATTACATTACATAATATAAATAACCACTACAAATTGTTATGCTAAATAGACATTGTTTGTTCAGTACATAGAGTGATAGTGATTCAGTACAATAGAGTGGTAGACGGTTGGAACAAGTTAAGTGAGAAGGTGGTGGAGGCCAAGACCGTCAGTAGTTTCGAAGCGTTATATGACAAAGAGTGCTGGGAAGACGGGACACCACGAGCGTAGCTCTCATCCTGTAACTACACTTAGGTAATTACTTAGGTAATTACATTTTAATTACACAGTTCAGCATACCTTAGCCCAGGAGGGCAAAAGTCAGTCAATATGGGACATTCTACAATATAACTGTGTAATTACTATATGAGTACTGGAACACTTGATGATATATTGGACTTGTACCCAAGATTAACCATGTAATGTATCAATTATACAATGTATGTATGTGATGTAACTATATAACCTGAGCTTGTAAAAGCACCTTCATCACCTTCAGTGATTAAGTGCTTAACCCTTAAACTGCGCAACGCGCCTGCAGGCTCACGTCTGGTTTGCGCAACGCGCCTCCGGGTATTTGTATTTTTCACGTTCCATTCAAAACTCCCGCGGCTACATGGGGTTCACATCAGCTTCCTCAGGGCTCTTGTAAACAGACGCCATCTTTAAAAAAAATCGTGGTCCACATTCCCGGGTGTGGGAGCCTCAGTAGTGTGTGACCAACCAAGGCTGGCGCTCGCAGCATGAGCGCACAGCACTGCTGTTCAGCATGTGACCACAGCATCGCCTAATAATGCCAAAATATATATATAACTTGTATTATTTAGCTATGATAGTGTTATATTAGAGCCTGAGTGTGATAATGACTGGGTACAATGTTCAAATATCAGTGATTCAATGCTGTTCACAGCGCTAGCCACAGCATTATTTCGTTCATCTAGGAATCTTCAAATGATTTCCTAGGTTCCTTTTCAAAATAAACGTGTGGTCAATTATTCATTTACAGGAATTAGTGACCAGGATTGTGATAATAGCAGGATTGTGGTTATAATTAGCGTTGTGCGTAGTATTGTGGAAGGAGGAATTTTGATGATTGAGGGCGATAATTGAGGTAGCCTCATTGTGTGTGTGTGGCTGCCACTCTTGTTTTGCTCACCATACTAGCTTAGTGGTTCGCTATGGGCAACACATATGTACATGGGTATATATAGTGTGTGTATATAGTGTAAGAACAGCAACAGGAGAATGTTGAGAGGAGCTATTTCGGTGAGGGAGGTGACGTAATCGTAGCGTCGTCTGCTGTGTGATTTTTCATGCAGTGTATGGTGGCCACTGTACTGTTTGGACACAATACCGGCTTACTTCCATAGTTCTGGTAAATAAAACATGTAGATAGGTATATAGAACATGTGTAATAAGAACTATAATAATATGGTGGGAGGAACAATGTTGGCGAGTAAGATGTTGGAGTGAGGGAGACTGGCTGGGTGAGGCTGCTCTCACTCGAGGTGTTCTGAATGTGTTCATGGTCAAATGCTCCTATTGGCCCATACGAGGCAGTTGCTATTGGCCCATACGAGGCAGCTGCTATTGGCCCATACGAGGCAGCTGCTATTGGCCCATACAAGGCAGCTGCTATTGGCCCATACGCGGCAGCTGCTATTGGCCCATACGCGGCAGCTGCTATTGGCCCATACGAGGCAGCTGCTATTGGCCCATACGAGGCAGCTGCTATTGGCCCATACGGGGCAGCTGCTATTGGCCCATACGAGGCACCTGCTATTGGCCCATACGAGGCACCTGCTATTGGCCCATACGGGGCACCTGCTATTGGCCCATACGGGGCAGCTGCTATTGGCCCATACGGGGCAGCTGCTATTTGCCCATACGAGGCAGCTGCTATTGGCCCATACGAGGCAGCTGCTATTGGCCCATACGAGGCAGCTGCTATTGGCCCATACGAGGCAGCTGCTGTTGGCCCATACGGGGCAGCTGCTGTTGGCCCATACGAGGCAGCTGATATTGGCCCATACGAGGCAGCTGCTATTGGCCCATATGAAGCAGCTGCTATGCGGTGTTCTGAATGTGTTGATGGTGAATGTATATAGTGTGTGACAGTGTATAGTGTGTAAATAGATTGTATATATACACAAATTAGCATGATACATAGTAAATATGTGCTGCATATGTGCGCACAAGTTTCATGCACGTAACACAGTGTCTACGGACAGTACGGATGTTGTACTGCGATATTATAGTGTACGTGTTCATTATACATTGGATTGGCACATAAAAACAATGAAAATGTATTTGGAAAGGTGCGCAAAAAATGAACGAAAATATATTCGCGGCAACTCGCGCACCCCACCCCGAGCGCCCCACAGCCCCCGAGAGCTTACGGCACGGGCGCACGGGGAATGATGACGTCACGGCCCAACTTCCGGACCCCATAGCAGCCAAAGTAAGTACAATTTCGACTTTTTTTTTACATACCCATACTGAGGGAAGGGTTTTTGACACTTTAAAAAGAAAAAATTATTTTTTCCAGAGAATTTATTTCCTGCGCACCGTGGGGGTGTCACATTTGGAGGCAACGCAGTTAAGGGGTTAATTGCACACTAGTTTCTCTATCAGCTATCTCACCTTGCCAGAGTAAAAGAGACAAATGTATGTGAATGCATGTGTGTGTGTATGTGTGTATGTATATGTATGTGTATAAAGTATATATGGAAGCTGATCAGAATTACATTTCACCTTTGTAAATGCACATTAATGACACTATGTAAAAGACACATCGAACACTTTATGTAGGGCATACGTAAATCTGTGTATCTATGTATTTACGTATGTAGGTTAGCTTAGCTTTTTAAAAGCACCGAATCACCTTCTGTGGTTGATTGTTCAATAAACCCCTGAACTATATGTTTAACACATCTCGAACCCTGTCCATGGAGGACAGAAGAAAATGTATATATGCTGGTTAGCATTCTAACTGTGTGGCCACGTCTGTGGTAGAAAATAATAAAAAAAAAAATACATTTTAATTTCCCCCCAGGAGCAAAGAATGAAATACTGAACAAGTAAATGTCAGCATACACCATCAATATTTACCGCATTTGGAACCAATGACGTGAAACCAAACTGACATTATTCTGGTGAAAATCAACTGATACTGTAATAGCAGCATTAAAAGCATTAAAACACAGAACTGCCCAGATGCTGTCACATACGTACTTAGCTAATTGTGCTTGCGGGGGTTGAGCTCTGGCTCTTTGGTCCCGCCTCTCAACCGTCAATCAACAGGTATACAGGTTCCCGAGCCTATTGGGCTCTATCATATCTACACTTGAAACTGTGTATGGAGTCAGTCTCCACAACATCACTTCCTAATGCATTCCATTTGTCAACCACTCTGACACTAAAAAAATTCTTTCTAATAGCGTGGCCGTAGCGTGGCCTTCTAACGTGGCCCATCCTCAATGTTTATGTGTCTTCGCAATATTTGAGTTGCAATGAATCCACATTGGATATGAATTTATGTAAAATTGTTAGTCAATCATTCATCTTAGCTCTATGCCCCCTTTCTTCCCTCCCTTCCTAAGAGCAGGTTATAACAGTCAAGTTATTTTAATTTTATTAAGTGACGCCTTAGTTTGCATGGTCAGTATGAACAGGCAGAGATGGGAGCAGGATTGGGTGAATGAACCAGTACATGCCTTTGATTTCTCTCTCAATATGAGCTTTATATACTTTATACACCTTTATCTGAACAAAATATATATCATGAATACTAAACGTCAATGCAGGCGATGAGTCACAATAACGTGGCTGAAGTAGTTTGGCCAGACCACACACTACAGGGTGAAGGGACGACGACGTTTCGGTCCACCCTGGACCATTCTCAAGTCAATTCTCACAATCAACTTGAGAATGGTCCAGGACGGACCGAAACGTCGTCGTCCCTTCACTTTCTAGTGTGTGGTCTGGTCAACATATTTCAGCCACGTTATTGTGACTTCTTATCTGCTGATGTAGTTTATTTAAGTCTGAAGTATGAGAGGCCAGCAATAAGCGAGTACACGAACACCACACGGCTCACTTACCAGCCACATATACCGACTTGTTATCACTGCACACTGCAAGACTCAGAACATCAGCTTTATGAGTCTGTACCTCTTGAGTAATGGTACCAAGCTTTGCATTCCAAAAGCAAGTTTTCCCTCTGCAATAAAAAAAGGAAAAAATTCTGCTAAAGTCTTATAATACAAGTCAAACAGTTGACTACAAATCATATGATAATTTATTTTCTGAAGATGGAATTACTGTGGACTGACTGGTCTGAAAACAAATGGAGGAAAGTAATGGAGTTAGTGAGGTAATGAGAAGAGTGAACTTATATATGAAAGTTTCTGATAAGTGACTTACCATGAAATCTTTTCGATGAGGAAAACTTAACCATATTTGACGGCGTCCAAGATGCACCTTCGCATAAGACGAAACCTCGCATAAGACGCACCCTTACCTTGAGGTTACCTTGAAGTGTTTTCAGAGCTTAGAGTATCCGCGGCCCAGTCGTCAACCAGGTCTCCTCTGGACTGGTCAACAAGGCTGTTGGACGCGCCTGCTCGCATCCTGACGTATGAGTCACAGCCCGATTGATCAGGTATCCTTTGGAGGGGCTTGTCAAGTTCTCTCTTGAACACTGTGAGGGATCGGCCAGTTATGTCCCTTATGTGTAGTGGAAGCGTGTTGAACAGTCTCGGGCCTCTAATGTTGATAGTTCTCTCTCAGAGTACCTGTTGCACCTCTGCTTTTCAACGGGGGTATTCTGCACATCCTGCCATGTCTTCTGGTCTCATGTGCTGTTATTTCTGTGTGCAGGTTTGGGACCAGCCCCTCTAATAATTTCCATGTGTAAATTATTATGTATCTCTCCCGCCTGCGCTCAAGAGAATACAGATTTAGGCTCTAGTCGGTCCTAATAGTTTAGAGGTTTTACTGAGTGGATTCTAGCAGTAAAGAATCTCTGCCCGCTCTCCAGGTCAGCAATTTCTCCAACTTTGAAAGGGGCTGTCATCGTGCAGCAGTATTCCACTCTAGAGAGCACTAGCGTCTTTAAGAGTATCATGAGAAACCCTTTTAACCATAAGACACACCCTTATTTTACAAGGATACTTTGTGGAAAAACTACTTTAGTATATTTCATCACACATTTATTGAAAGATGCAGGCGATGAGTCACAATAACGTGGCTGAAGTAGTTTGACCAGACTACACACTAGAAGGTGAAGGGACGACGACGTTTCGGTCCGTCCTGGACCATTCTCATGTCGATCGACTTGAGAATGGTCCAGGACGCACCGAAACGTTGTCGTCCCTTCACCTTCTAATTTATTGAAAGATATTTTAAAGTGGTTTTTGTAGCCCAACTCTTACCTCCTCTAAGTTCAGCTGTCTAGTTGTTTACATTTTGGGCACGAGAATTGCTATACAGGATGTGAAACTTGTATTTCTGGATGTTATGTTTTGTGTTACCTCGACAGGCCACCAGGGTGGCATACCTGGTGGCGGCGCACCCACTTTCCTTTCACAGATTTTGCTGCTCCTGTTATGCAGCATGCAGTCACAGCTAGTCACAGGTCACAGCTAGTCACAGTCGCAATCAGTTAGAGGCAGCCATGGTCACGTCACAGTCAATCAAGCATTCAGGCACAAGTCACAGTCAGGCATTCAGGCACAAGTCAATTAGGTCCTTCACAGTCACAAGTCACAGTCAGTCCTAACCAGTCAAAGGCAGATAGACATTCACAGCTGTGGTAGCAATCAGTTACAGTTTGACAGTCAATCACACATCCACCTGCCCACCCAGTCAGCCCACCAATCCATCCAACCACCCACCCACCCACCTGCTAACCCTGCCTGCCTGCCCTACGTCAGCCACCTCTACGCCTTCGCATCCACTATACCAGCCATCCCAAAACTCCCTGTCTGTCCACCTGCCCATCCACTCACCAGTCTGCTACAAATCCCTCAACCTCCACCTGCCTGCCAGTCAGTAACCAATCCATCCACCCACCCTGCCTGCCCACTAGCCAGTCAGTCCACCTGCCTGTCCACTGGCTGCTTTGATGCTTGGTTGGTTAGGCCGAGGGTGCACCATGTGTTGTGTCTGGTCGCGGCTCTCCACTGTTACCTGCTTGCCACGGCCTCGGAAGCCGGGGACGCGCTTTGGGTTGACCCGGTTTCCCTTCTTCCCTGTTCCAGGGTTTGGGTCCCCCAGGTCGTCCTCAGGGTTATTCGGTCCAGCCAGCCTGCGGGCTATCCTCGTGCCTATGACGTTCGTGAGTTTGCTGCGCTGGCTGCCGTCTTCAACAACATGCCTTTGGCTGACATTCGGACACAGGGTTTTTGGAGGTCGAACTGGGTCCTGGCCGCTTGCTACCTTGTGAATATCCCTGGACCTGGTAGGGCCTGAATTGAATTGGGTCAGCGGTTGCAGCCAGTTGTCTCGACTTCGCGTTGAGGAGCGAGGGCTGACCGCCTCCCAGGTAAGTCCCTCTTGTTTTGTCTTTGGGTAAGTAGCTTTGGGGGAGCCAAAGTGGCTCCACCCAGAAACACACACGCATACAAGCATCCATACTTACATGGATAGCTACAAACATACATTCATTAACAGTAAATTAGTGCACACACACACACTAATGCATATAAAAAAAAAAAATTGAAATGCTTCACATAGAGGATAAATCAAATATAGTGAAAAATGTTTACTAACCTGGAGTCGCCACTGACTATTGTCATGTCATCAAGAATACCAACACACCACACAATGACCTCACTTGCAGAATTACCCACTGAACAACGGGTCACCTGAAAATACAAATATAATTTAAGGCTAAAGCCAATATTAAAGGTAGATATTGTTCACTCACATTGTGAAATAGGAAGCACAGGGGTACCCCGGTTTAAGAGTTTAATCCGTTCCTGGAGACGGCTCATATTCCGAGGTACCACCGTACTCTTAGCTCACGTCACACCTAGACCTGGGACCGAGACCTCGACAGAGAATAATGCTTGTTCACCGTGCCTTAAATGTTCACACCCTCCGTAGGGAGCCAGTCGGCCGAGCGGACAGCTCGCTGGACTTGTGATCCTGTGGCCCTGGGTTTGATCCCGGGCGCCGGCGAGAAACAATGGACAGAGTTTCTTTCACCCTATGCCCCTGTTACCTAGCAGTAAAATAGGTACCTGGGTATAAGTCAGCTGTCACGGGCTGCTTCCTGGGGGTGGAGGCCTGGTCGAGGACTGGGCCGCGGGGACACTAAAAAGCCCCGAAATCATCTCAAGATAACCTCAACATAACCCGTTCACCATGCAATAAATGGGGAGACCTCATTCTAAACTGATTAGAGGGCTGTGTTCCAGGAAAAACTAACATGGTAAGATTTAATATGAGTTGTGAGAAGAGAAAGTGTAAACCAGGAGTTAGAAGTCATATGCTCCTGTACACAGGCATTAACGCGATATTCGTAATGGTCAGTACAGATAGGCAACAAATAACATATACCACAGGCAAGTCTTTTCAATACAAAATTATTAACATTGAGTATAAGGGAATACACCTTTCTGGACTTGACTTTAGTAATGGCATTAAACTTCAGCATTAGCCATTACCGATACGGGTCAGGCTAGCCAATGCCAGGTTCTGTGACTCACGCTGATTACTACGATTACTAGCCCACGCATTTTCTCCAATGTGTATTGTTGCGTTAAGTGAGGTTATCTTGAGATGATTTCGGGGCTTTTTTAGTGTCCCCGCAGCCCGGTCCTCGACCAGGCCTCCACCCCCAGGAAGCAGCCCGTGACAGCTGACTAACACCCAGGTACCTATTTTACTGCTAGGTAACAGGGGCATTCAGGGTGAAAGAAACTTTGCTCATTTGTTTCTGCCTCGTGCGGGAATCGAACCCGCACCACAGAATTACGAGTCCTGCGCGCTATCCACCAGGCTACGAGGCCCCAAGTACCTCCCTGAGGAGGTACTTGTATTATGGTTATATCCTGCTCATGGGTTGCTGGACATAGCATAAAAAAACAAAAAGCCACATTAAACTTCAGTGTGAATATTAGGAACAGGAGAATGTCAAAAGCCAAGGTTAAAAATAATGGTTAAATTTAATCAAAAGGAATATTGAAACAAAAATGTTACAAATTCAGAAACAATCACGGCAGATACAGGAGAATTCAGGTACAATCAAGCAGTAGTAGAAATATGAAAGTTTAATCACAATATTAACTAGAAAGTTTACTAACCATTAACAAATCTACAAATATGGCTTTAGAACAGGCATGTCAAACATGGAGCTTGCGGGCCACATGCGGCCTTTTGCAAGCACACCTGCGGCCCGCGGGCCACATGCGGCCTTTTGCAAGCACTCCTGCGGTCCGCGGGCCACATGCGGCCTTTTGCAAACACTCCTGCGGTCCGCGGGCCACATGCGGCCTTTTGCAAGCACACCTGCAGCCCGCGGGCCACATGCGGCCTTTTGCAAGCACACCTGCAGCCCGCACAAAGGATACTATAATTTGGAACATAATAGAAAAAATCATTCTGCAATAATTTGTATTAAATGAATTCAATTAGTTGTGGTGTGTGGGCATCATGATGACATAAACATGACCACATATGGCCCTCGGGGGGGACCCTCAGTTGTGGTGTGTGGCCCTCATGATGACAAACATGCCCCCATATGGCCCTCGGGGGGGACCCTCAGTTGTGGTGTGTGGCCCTCATGATGACATAAACATGACCACATATGGCCCTCGGGGGGGGACCCTCAGTTGTGGTGTGTGGCCCTCATGATGACATAAACATGACCCCAATATGGCCCTCGGGGGGAAACCGCTCAGTTTGACATGCCTGCTTTAGAATTTTAGCGACTTACCCGGCCTTCCGTCAGAGACCACAGACGGACACAGTTGACAGATCCCGTGACTATGTAGTCTCCGCTGCTGTGCCAGCAGATGTGCAATATTCGACCTGATGAAAGAAAACTTGAAGTAACGCTAATCATAAACTTTTAACTCCAGTGCCAAGCCATATGCGTAGGAAATGTAGATGTTTATCTCTCAGAATGTTTGGTAATATGTGTTGACCAGACCACACACTAGAAGTTGAAGGGACGACGACGTTTCGGTCCATCCTGGACCATGTTGCAACCCGTTCTCGCAAATTCGTAAAGTCAATATTGACTTATTAACTACGTGCATAGGTGATATACTAAACATAATAGATACCCTTAAAAAGCTTCATAGAAAACACCGACCTTATCTAACCTTGTTAGTATCTTAAGATAAGCATCTTATTGCTTCGTAATTACAATTATTACTTAACCTATACCTATAATAGGTTAAGTAACAATTGTAATTACGAAGCTATAAGATGCTTATCTTAAGATACTAACAAGGTTAGGTTAGGTCGGTGTTTTCTTTGAAGCTTTTTAAGGGTGTCTATTATGTTTAGTATGTCACCTATGCACTTATTTAATAAGTCAATATTGACTTTACGAATTTGCGAGAATGGGTTGCAACCTCAAGTCGATTGTGATGAGGTAGAGACAGGCAATAAATAGGCAAGAGAGAGCTGAGGAGGAAAGTAAGGTGTAGGGGATAGTAGTAATAATTTATGGTAATATGTTTATTACTTGTGATGTGTGTGTATGTATGTATTAATACGATGTACTGAACGGGGTGAGAATAGCTTGAGCTACCTCATCCCTTTGTGTGTATTTTACATCAATAAACTTATTTCAATTTCAATTTAAAAAACCCATATGCAATAATGTTCTTGCGTTTATTAGTCTAATTGTAATATTGAGTACACGTTCAAAATCTGGGGCCAGATTCACGAAGCAGTTATGCGAGTACTTACGAACGTGTACATCTTACCTCAATCTTTGACGCCTTTGGTTATATTTATGAAACAGTTTACAAGCATAAAAACTTGCCAATCAACTGTTGTCATTGTTATAGACAGCCTCCTGGTGCTTCGGAGCTCATTAACTGTTGAATAATTGTAAACAAAGCCGCCAAAGATTGAGAAAAGATGTACCTGTTTCTCGCCGGCGCCTGGGTTTGATCCCAGGCGCCGGCGAGAAACAATGGGCAGAGTTTCTTTCACCCTATGCCCCTGTTACCTAGCAGTAAAATAGGTATACCTGGGTGTTAGTCAGCTGTCACAGGCTGCTTCCTGGGGGTGGAGGCCTGGTCGAGGACCGGGCCGCGGGGACACTAAAGCCAAGAAATCATCTCAAGATAACCTAAAGATAGGAGTACCGGGAACCCACAGCGTTTTCCCTCACACAAGTACAGAGCTGACAGTCCCCCACCTCACCAGTCTGGGAAATCGGCACAGCTTTACACACAGCTGGAAGGTTCACAGAAAATGAAGCCTCGATAAACGGCCAAACAACCACTGCAAATGAGTCGCACAAAACAAGGGACTCACTCAAACAAGCTCAAAAGTCGCTAGTACCAATTACCACCACTAGGCGGCCCAGCCCCAGCTCTCAGCCGGCTACTGAAGTCAGTTCTGGACCTGATGAACCAACTCATGACAAATTGCCAAACTAGAAATTGGAAAATCAGCTTCTCCAGAAATTGGTGTTTTGTTACATTCAACGTTGGGTTTCTGGAGGGAGTCGGAGTCCCCTTGTGACTTCCTGAAGCAAATCTAACCATAGAGAACAAGAACGGAACAGACCAGGACGGAGGAAAGGAGCTGGCACTTGAGAGGAAGAGGCACCAGGCCAAGCAACACAGCCCTAAGCTACACGCAACCAACTATCTTCTTGGTTATCTTGAGGTTACCTTGAGATGATTTCGGGGCTTTAGTGTCCCCGCGGCCCGGTCCTCGACCAGGCCTCCATCCCCGGGAAGCAGCCCGTGACAGCTGACTAACACCCAGGTACCTATTTTACTGCTAGGTAACGGAGCCATAGGGTGAAAGAAACTCTGCCCATTGTTTCTCGCCGGTGCCTGGGATCGAACCCGGGACCACAGGATCACAAGTCCAGTGTGCTGTCCGCTCGGCCGACCGGCTCCCTCATATGCTGGTCATTTGCTCGGTAAAGTGTTCATTGCAAGTTCTGTAATTTCTAAATAATTCTTAATGGGAATTCATGAGTTTTGTGACTATTTGTTTTTGTTTTCACTTTTAGAGGAATTGCCTTTTGTAGTGAGTTAAGTTTAGCTCCTCATGTGTTGCTGTGGCTGTGTCTGCTAAACATTTAGGGCAGACATTAAACAATCCCAGCCCGTCATAAAAGTATTTGTGTGTACGTCTGATACCATACTACTTGTGAAAAGGACGAAATGTAGATGTTTATCTCTCAGAATGTTTGGTAATATGTTTATTGTTTGTGATGTGTGTCTATGTATGTATTAACACGATGTACTGAACGGGGTGAGAATAGCTTGAGCTACCTCATCCCTTTGTGTGTATTTTACATCAATAAACTTATTTCAATTTCAATCCCAGCCCAGAGATGTTATAGTAACAAAAACATGTGAAAATGATTTACCAAGTGTAACAAAACCATTTGTAAAAGATGCAGACGAGGAGTCACAATAACGTGGCTGAATCAACTTGAGAATGGTCCGGTCCAGGACGGACAGAAACGTCGTCATCCCTTCACTTTCTAGTGTGTGGTCTGGTCAACATTTGTAAAAGACGCAGACGAAGCCACAATAACGTGGCTGAATCAACTTGAGAATGGTCCAGGAAGAACAGAAACATCGTCATCCCTTCACTTTCTAGTGTGTGGTCTGGTCAACATTTGTAAAAGACGCAAACGAAGAGTCACACTAACGTGACTGAATCAACTCAAGAATGGTCCAGGACGGACAGAAACGTCGTCATCCCTTCACTTTCTGGTGTGTGGTCTGGTCAACATTTGTAAAAGCTAACTACAAACCACTAACCTTCTTGCTTCTCCAGGGCTCTGTCGTACATTATGCCCTCGTCCACCACGTCAAACACGCACACATAGCCTTCCTCTGTGCCAGCCTGTAGGCATCAACAAAGAAAATTTGTAATTGTCTTCAACATAAATTGATACATTTCTCAAAAAGTACACAATAGAAGATATATATATATGTGGAGGATGACAGCAATATACATCTAAATGGCTGAATGGCCCTTAAATGGCTCGGCTAATTAGAAATCCAACTTCGTGATGACCATCTTGAGGTTATCTTGAGATGATTTCGGGGCTTTAGTGTCCCCGCGGCCCGGTCCTCGACCAGGCCTCCACCCCCAGGAAGCAGCCCGTGACAGCCGACTAACACCCAGGTACCTATTTTACTGCTAGGTAACAGGGACATAGGGTGAAAGAAACTCTGCCCATTGTTTCTCGCTGGCGCCCGGCATCGAACCCGGGACCCAGAGGATCACAAGTCCAGCGTGCTGTCCGCTCGGCAGACCGGCTCCCATAACAACGTTATGGGAGCCGGTGACATGCCAACGAAAATTTCACAAAACTGATATATATATAAATCACATTTGGAGATTCCAGCACAAGAGGCAATTGTAGATAGCAAATTGGAGCAGCTTAGAGGGCCTGACAGCTGAGAGGAGAGCGCTTCAGATTCGTAGTCCTGAGGTTCCGGGTTCGATCCCCGGCGGAGGCGGAAACAAAATGGGCAGACTTTCTTTCACCCTGATGCACTGTTCACCCAGCATTAAATAGGTACCTGGGTGTTAGACAGCTGCTACGGGCTTCTGCTTCCTGGGGGTGTGTAACAAAATGGAGGCCTGGTCGAGCACCGGGCTGCAGGGACGCTGAGCCCCGAAATCATCTCAAGATAACCTCAAGATGGGGTTAATGATTTTACCTTGAAAACTTTCACAAAACAATATCATTATTTTGGGTGTTGTTATGTCCAATACAATTGGCTTGGAAAACATAGTTTCAGTTGCACCATTGTGAGCCATGGAGTTTGTAGGAGTGACTGAGTGTAGAGTCGAATGTGCCTTCAAAGATGTTGGATAAGCCACTATCTGTACCAACCACATATATGTTAGAATTTTTTTTTTTAACATTTACCCATAAATATCCAATTTCCACTATTTTCCATGTGTTGCCCTGCATGAAATTTTTTTTTAAATTTTGCCCCGAGGGGCGAGTTTATTGGGCAGCGCCACTCATCCTGTGAGTGGACACACCGCCACAGTGACAGTATTGGGCAGCGCCACTCATCCTGTGAGTGGACACACCACCATAGTGACAGTATTGGGCAGCGCCACTCATCCTGTGAGTGGACACACCGCCATAGTGACAGTATTGGGCAGCATCACTCATCCTGTGAGTGGACACACCGCCATAGTGACAGTATTGGGCAGCGCCACTCATCCTGTGAGTGGACACACCGCCATAGTGACAGTATTGGGCAGCGCCACTCATCCTGTGAGTGGACACACCGCCATAGTGACAGTATTGGGCAGCACCACTCATCCTGTGAGTGGACACACCGCCATAGTGACAGTATTGGGCAGCGCCACTCATCCTGTGAGTGGACACACCGCCACAGTGACAGTATTGGGCAGCGTCACTCATCCTGTGAGTGGACACACCGCCACAGTGACAGTATTGGGCAGCGCCACTCATCCTGTGAGTGGACACGCCGCCACAGTGACAGTATTGGGCAGCGCCACTCATCCTGTGAGTGGACACGCCGCCATAGTGACAGTATTGGGCAGCGTCACTCATCCTGTGAGTGGACACACCGCCATAGTGACAGTATTGGGCAGCGCCACTCATCCTGTGAGTGGACACACCACCATAGTGACAGTATTGGGCAGCGCCACTCATCCTGTGAGTGGACACACCGCCATAGTGACAGTATTGGGCAGCACCACTCATCCTGTGACTGGACACACCGCCATAGTGACAGTATTGGGCAGCGCCACTCATCCTGTGAGTGGACACACCCCCATAGTGACAGTATTGGGCAGCGCCACTCATCCTGTGAGTGGACACACCGCCATAGTGACAGTATTGGGCAGCGTCACTCATCCTGTGAGTGGACACACCGCCATAGTGACAGTATTGGGCAGCGTCACTCATCCTGTGAGTGGACACACCGCCATAGCAGCATGTACAACACTCCCCAATAGGAAGAAAACCCGCTGGGTTGTTCATCCTGTCACTTGTACCCAGACACAGCTGGGACTTGCATGTACTGTACCAAAACACAGAGGAGCCTCAATTAACGAATTTAATCTGTTCCGGCATCGAGCTCGTCATGTGAAACGCTCATTTTCTGAAATGAATTTCCCCATTTACAATACACGTAATGGAAATAAAATTAATCCGTTCCACCACCGAAAAAATCAATATGATACTGTACTTGATTGGCATTTTTTTCTATCAACCACCAATTTCAACCTCATAAAACCAGTGTTGAATGTAATGAAACGTCATTTTCTGGATGAGCCCCCGGAGGCTCCATGAAGCTATCCGAACTGATGTGTGCTATATTAGACTGGGGTCATCGGTCACAGGAGTCCTTGGGCTTACCGGAGACCACGAGCCAGAACCTGGTACCCTCAGAGAGGCGCAGGGAGCAATGGCCTATGAACACTTTACATTTAAAGTTTGTCATAATTGTCATCGACCGAGGAAGGACCCAGAAAAGTAGGTGAATCAAAACAGACCACAGTCTGCTTGAAAATTCAAAGCTACGTCCTCAAAATAGCAAAAGAACTCCCCTAAAAAGAAAACAAACAAGCACCACTTCATCCAATGGAGGTGTTCATCGACTTGATAATAGTCCAGGACGGACCGAAACGTCGTCGTCTCTTCATCTTCTAGTGTGTGGTCAACATTCTTCAGCCATATTATTGTGACTCGATCATCTGCACTTCATCCAACTAGCAACCTGCTTATTAGCCCTAACCCCCTACCCCCCCCCCCTCCCCATTCACGGGGGAAGGGGGAGTCCGGCAACCCACCAATTCAGTTCTTAAATGAAGAAAGCCACCGATCGAAGGGAGGGAGGGATGTCAGGGAGCCTCCGGGGCTCACCCAGAAACTGGAGTTTCATTACATTCGACGCTGGTTTTCTGTAGGGAGCCTCGTCGGCTCCCTAAAGCTAACTATCCACAGAGAAGGCAAACAGGGACTTACCAGGAAGGCGGCAGCACCGCAGGTTTCAAAGCGAGGAAGAGAGAGTCGGCCGCAACAGGCATCCCAAAGCCACACAAGGCTGCAGAGGAACCAGGACATTACGAGATACCTGGCAGCCAGGACTGTTCGAGCTCCAAATCCCCCGCGCCTGAATATTGTCCAAAGACATACTTATTGCCAAAGACAGCCGAAAGAGTAGCATACTTTCTAACATCATGGGCACGAAGGTAAACCTCAGACTGGCTAGACTTAATGACACTGCGGACAACTGGAGAAACACGAGCCCTGGAACAGGGAACCAGGGAAACCGGATCAACCCAGAGCACGTCCACCGACACAGACCCGGTGGCCCGCAGCTAGCGGCGTAAAGCAGCTACCAAACAAAGAACGTGGTGCACCCCTGACCTAACCAACCAAGCATCCACAACCAACGGACCCCTTCGGAAGCCTGCCATCACATTCTTTGCCAGAAAAGGAGACGGCTGCAAATGAACAAAACAACCGGCAGTACCAAAGGAACAAAACCCCTGGTGCCGGAGAAGAGCAAGAAGCTCCCCAACCCGACCCCTCAGAGTCCAAGGCCAACAAAAACAATGCCTTCCAAAAACAAGACGTTGCTTTTCACCAACAAAACCTAAAAACCAACAAAACCGACACCTGTGCACCATACAAAATAGTGATAGAGATGCGCCAGGAACTCCAGGAGCATAGAATAGTACTGTAGTTTGTGTGTAAAAATATCAACAGTACTTATGTTAAGTTAGAATATAGAATATGAATGTATAGCCATAGGCCACCTAAATAATGGAAGCATGCAGATATAAATCTAGTACATTCATAGGTCACTGGTTCAAATCCGATTCAAACGACCTATGTAATTTCGATATTAATCCTGCAAACCCACTCAAAGGAAAGCTTTTAACAGACTGTTGTCCCTGAGGAGTCCAATACTAATGTCTCAGTTGTGTTAGGATGTCTAACACTCCTCGATGTTTGGTTAATGAAGTGATGATGTGTACAGAGCACAATCAACCTTGTGCATTGTTGACCAGACCACACACTAGAAAGTGAAGGGACGACGACGTTTCGTTATCCCTTCACCTTCTAGTGTGTGGTCTTCCCTCACAATCGACTTGAGAATGGTCCAGGACGGACCGAAACGTCGTCGTCCCTTCACCTTCTAGTGTGTGGTCTGGTCAACATACTTTAGCCACGTTATTGTGACTCATCGCCTGCAACCTTGTGCCTTCATTGCTCTTACCAAAAAAACCATTGTATCACAAGGTTAGAGGGATCACCCAGGACTGCTCACCCACGCCCTCTACGCCTGATCTCAAATTTTGCGGGAGTCCGACAGCATTGTGAAGCGTCTGCCATCTGCACATTGGTGACTTTGCACGCATTGCTATCAGGAAAAATCAATATTACCACAGCTGGGGATTCATGTTTAGTAATGAACCACTATCAGCCTTACTGTGCTAGAAGGACTGGGCCGTCACTTCCTAGAAATGGGTGACACGAGACAGTGTTAGCACACTGGACTCAATCAATTAGATTCGAGTTTGATTCCTGTAGAAGGCAACATATTTGGGTATATTTCTTTACACCTGATGCTTCTGTTCACATAGCAGTAAATAGGTACCCGAGAGTTAGACATAGGAAAACTATATTTCTGTCAAACAAATCCACAAGGGCCGTGATGAGGGCTCGAACCTACGTCCGAGAGGATCGCAGACGCGCCTTAATCAATTAAGACGCGTCCGGGATGCTCTCGGACGTGGGTTCGAACCCTCATCACGGCCCTTGTGGATTTGTCCATTTGATGCACCATGCTATTGTGATTCCTGGGTGTATATTTCAGTCCAGTGCACACACTAGAATCTACTTTAAGGCATCAGCAAAACAAGATAGCTAAGAAAAACTACAGTATAATGAGTCAATATAATTAAAACATTAGTAAAAAAATGCAATAAGTACATAGGTAGACACATGAGTTAGTGTTCCAAACTCTATACAAAGTTGTGACATAGCCTGGTTCCAACCATGTTTGGATTTTCAGAGTTCGCAATATTTACCAACAGAGATGTTAACAACAAAAGTATATACTCACTGCTAACTTCCGCTTGTCTTTGGAAAGAGCAAGGCACCAGGTGGGACCACCAGTGACCGCTGTACGCGACATGACACCACCCGAGAATAAGTTGTATTCCAAGATATAGCCGTGGAGTCCTGCACTAAAGAGTCGTCCCTTGCACCACACCAGCGCTTCAACCGAACTGTCGACACCACCTGATGAAGCAATACAATTATTATTTTTCTTGACTCATTACGAGCAACCTAATGAGAGCCGGTTGGCCGAGCAGACAGCACGCTGGACTTGTGATCCTGTGGTCCCGGGTTCAATCCCAGGCGCCGGTGAGAAACAATGGGCAATGTTTCTTTCACCCTATGCCCCTGTTACCTAGCAGTAAAATAGGTACCTGGGTATTAGTCAGCTGTCACAGGCTGCTTCCTGGGGGTGGAGGCCTGGTCGAGGACCGGGCCGCGGGGGCACTAAAAAGCCCCGAAATCATCTCAAGATAACGGAAAGATAACCTTCATCACAGAACTACCATAAGATCCTGTAAAACCTGTCACCCTAATACACTACAAGCAATTTATTAATAATCTAATACTTGTTGTATGATGAAGGCAGTTGTATTTTTCTTGCGTAATTTCAATCTTCCAAATATAAAATAAAGATGTCAATGCCCATTTTGAGTGTACTGTAATTCTAACAAAATTTATAAATAACTAGAAATATTACTGTATAGTGTATTTGCAGTATTTGCCTAGTGCACAACTAGGCGAGTTATCTTGAGTTATCTTGAGATGATTTCGGGGCTTTTTTTTTTTTTTTTAGTGTCCCCGCGGCCCGGTCCTCGACCAGGCCTCCACCCCCAGGAAGCAGCCCGTGACAGCTGACTAACACCCAGGTATCTATTTTACTGCTAGGTAACAGGGGCATAGGGTGAAAGAAACATTGCCCATTGTTTCTCGCCGGCGCCCGGGATCGTATTATACAATATAAAATATACATGCGCAGGATGAAGCTTTAGTAATTTTAATTATATACAGCATATCACAAGCCTTCATAGTCCTGCACAGCAAAACAATACACAAAGCCAATTGACAAATACAAAAACACACGTATGAAATACTGTACATACTGTCTCCTAATAATATCAAAATAAAAATGTGTATTCAGGTATAAGTACATACATAGAAGATAGTTACAAACATAATGTTGGATTTAAAGATAGAGCTAGTACATACAATACCTAAAGCCACTAATACACATAGCATTTCGGGCAAGAAACACCGATTCGAGAAAACGCATGTGATTCAAGACTCACCGGGAAGAACTAGCTGCACAAAGGGTCGATTCTGGCAGTTCCATATTTCAACACTCCCATCGGCCCTGTCAATAAACAATTTATATATAGAAAATAATTTGGCTTGCATATTCAGTCCTGCAAAACACACTTAACACTTTGACGTTATCATGATGACGTCTATCGCAGTCATCCAAGCAACACACGCAGTTCATCCGTTAATTTTGTGTTATTCTTATTAATAAGCATTAACATTGTGAAAAAAATGTTTAACATTGGTTTGTATGTGATCACTGGCAACCTACTCACTGCTAGGTGAACAGAGGCATTAGGTGAAAGGAAATGTGCCCAACCATTTCTGTCCCGCCCGGGAATCGAACCCGGAATTGTCGACTGTGCGTCGAGAAGGAACCCGACTGTACTGCCGGGACCCTAGAGGTGTGACTGGTAATTTGACATTGTCGCAAAGCCAGGCCTAACGATCCTCTGAGCAGGTAAAAGAAATATTGCCTGAACAACCGTGGACATCTTCAAGAGGAAACTAGTGTGTTTTCTTGCAAGGAGTGCCGGACCAGCCGGGCTGTGGTGGGTATGTGGGCCTGCGGGCCGCTCCAAGCAACAGCCTGGTGGACCAAACTCTCACAAGGGGTCCATAGAATTAGCCAAATCTACCCAAATCCTGCTAGTATTATGCAAGTACCTGTAATGAAGAAATACGGTATATTTACTCACTATAATGTTGGCATTAAAGGCAGAACGTGATCAAACTTATTTACGGTCCGTCTAATTACCACAAGCTTCACAAAGCTTCACAAAGCTTCCTGGCAGTACGTTAGTAATGAATAAATATGATATATTTACTCATTATAATGTTGGTGCTGAATGTACAACACGAGAAAACATAATTTGAATCTGAAAAAGTATCTTTTTATAAAGAAATTAGACGAAAATAAAGAGCTGGTGACGCCAAATCAAGTCGACGATCCAAGCGTCGGTTAGGTTAGGTTTGGTTAGGTTAAGTTAGGTTAGGGTAGGTTAGGTTAGGATACGTCAGCCTAACCTAACATATCATATTTATTCATTACTAACGTATTGCCAGGAAGCTTTGTGAAGCTTATGGTAGCTTGTGGTAATTAGACGGACCGTAAATATATATTCTGAAATAATCCAACTTCATAACGAAATTAGAAGTAAATATGTAGCGGGTGACGCCATAGGAAGCCGACGGTCAAAGCGACAATGTTATGGAGCGACTTATCCAAGATGTTTTGTTTTGTAAATGTTTTGTAACTATTTACAAAATATATTATTACAAATACGCATATATTGGATAAGTCGCTCCGCGACGACTCGCCCGCTACATATTTACTTCTAATTTCGTTATGAAATTACATTATTTGAGAATAAAAATAGGTTTGATCATGTTTTGCCTTCAAGACCAACATTATAGTAAATATATCATATTTCTCCATGACTTAATGCTATAGAAGGTTTTGGGAAGATTTGGCTCACAAGACCTGACCTCAGGTCCGGCATGGGAAGTACGGTTCATGGGAAGTACGGTCCATCATGGGGAGTAGAACACGACATGGGGAGTTGAACAACCATCCAGCAGGTGTGTAAGGGAGGTGTGTGTGAGGCAGGTGTGGTGCCACAGGTGTGTGTGAAGCAGGTATACACACCTGGAGAGCGCCAGGCGGCTGCTGGCGTCCTCATAAGCCATACACTGGATGGCTTGAGGCTCAAAGTCATAGAAGCGGACATTATGGACGGTGAACTGTGTCATCCTGGAGGAGGAGCTCTCGAGGAGCAGCTTGTGGCTCTTGTGGAGGCTCACGTGGCTCTTGTGGAGCCCCAGGGACAAGCTCCACTCCTCCTCTTCCTCTCACTGATCTCACTGCCTGTTATGCCTCGCAATTTGCATGAAGGCTCTTGACTGGACGAGTAGTAAAGGCGGCACTTAAGAGTGGCTAGATCCAGCCTCTCCCCGCGTGGTGATGTTTATGTGTACTAGGGGAGGGGGATAGGTAGGTGGGTAGGTGGATAGGGGAGGTAGGGAGGGGTAGAGGAGAGAGATAGTGGGGGGGGGTTAAAGGGAGAGCGGGCCGCGCCATCATCTATAAATCGCTATTATGGCTGCCATATAGGTTTATGTGCTTGATTTAACCTCCCCAAGACCGCCATTGACTAATTGCTGGTCAAAGATATCTCAAATATTCTTAAGAATATATTTTTAAGAATATTTCCTAGTACTGAGGGAGGGAGGGAGAGGGGGGGGGTCGTTTCGTACACACCCGCTGCGGCTTTTGTACACAGTTATTTATGTATTTATTGATTTTTATTTAGTTTTATTTGTATTATACAGTTGAATAAATTAATAAAGTGTATATTCTGTACACAGTTGAATAAATTGTATGTTCTGTACAGAGTTTCTTCGGTGAGCATTTTGTATACACGAGCCCCTTTCGTATACCCCATATGCGCTGGCTTGTGTTTGCTGCCACAAACGTGTAATCTAAATTCAAATTAAAATTCAAAATGTTTATTCAGGTCAAAGTTCATACATAGAAGATGACTTACAAACATAAAGTTGGATTTACAGATAGAGTTTAGTACATAGAATACCTAAAGCCACTAATACAATTCGATTTCTTTCTTTCTTATGCACCCCATACCCACCCAACTGGGCGGCAGCTTTACAGTCATGTGCTCCACACCCACCCAACTGGGCGGCAGCTTTACAGTCATGTGCTCCACACCCACCCAACTGGGCGGCAGCTTTACAGTCATGTGCTCCACACCCACCCAACTGGGCGGCAGCTTTACAGTCCTGTGCTCCACACCCACCCAACTGGGCGACAGCTTTACAGTCATGTGCTCCACACCCACCCAACTGGGCGGCAGCTTTACAGTCATGTGCTCCACACCCACCCAACTGGGCGGCAGCTTTACAGTCATGTGCTCCACACCCACCCAACTGGGCGGCATTTTCACATTCCATTATATAATGACGCAAAGTATGCGAATAGTTCTGCTGACAGAGTTTACATTTAGTCAAATCTACATCAGCAGATGTTACAAACTGCCAGAGGTACTTGTAGCCGAGCCTAAGCCTAGCAGTGGTAACATCTAGAAGTCTGCTAACATTATTGGATGACCCATAGACGTGCGGTTCTTCCTGCATAATAGAATGATGATAGATGGAGTAACTGGTGGGAATTTCACTTTGCCTCAAGTCTCCAAGTTGATGTTCCTGGGATATTGCTGCCCTCAGGCTGCTCAAAGGCAGTCCAAGTTGGTAATCAATTCCCTCTTTACGAGCAAAAATCTTGGCCAACTCATCAGTTCTATTATCCATTCGGAGACCAATATGGGAAGGAATCCACAGGAGACAGACTCTGACTCCATCATTGATTATTTCACTATATCTGTGTCTAGCTTCAGAGATAAGCACTTAGGGGGCTGAGGGCCTTCAAGGATGACAAGGAGTCACTTACAATTACCGTGTCAACTTTGGAGTCATATACGCGCTCTAGTGCAAGGATTATGCCAACCAATTCTGTTTGGAGAATATGTATATATTTATTTCTCAGAATGTTTGGCAATATGTTTATTGTTTGTGATGTGTGTCTATGTATGTATGAACACGTTGTACTGAACGGGGTGAGAATAGCTTGAGCTACCTCATCCCTTTGTGTGTATTTTACCTCAATAAACTTAGTTCAATTTCTGGGGCCAGATTCACGAAAGCACTTACGCAAGCACTTACGAACCTGTACATCTTTTCTCAATCTTTGACGGCTTTGTTTACAATTATTAAACAGTTAATGAGCTCCGAAGCACCAGGAGGCTGTTTATAACAATAACAACAGTTGAATGGGAAGTTTTCATACTTGTAAACTGTTTAATAAATGTAACCAAAGCCGTCAAAGATTGAGGAAAGATGTACACGTTCGTAAGTGCTTGCGTAAGTGCTTTCGTGAATCTGGCCCCAAGAGAGCAGTTATGGGCCCCAGCAAAAGTTTGAGGACAGGAGAGATCACCAGAACTAGTGTCAAGCTTCGCCTCCTGGAGACAGCACGCTGGACTTGTGATCCTGTGGTCCTGGGTTCGATCCCAGGCGCCGGCGAGAAACAATAGGCAGAGTTTCTTTCACTCTATGCCCCTGTTACCTAGCGGTAAAATAGGTACCTGGGTGTTAATCAGCTGTCACGGGCTGCTTCCTGGGGGTGGAGGCCTGGTCGAGGACCGGGCCGCGGGGACACTAAAAAGCCCCGAAATCATCTCAAGATAACCTCAAGATAAGGACAGCATCCGAAAGAGAGAGAATCGAGGGCCAAGGGAATCTCCATCACCGAATTGGGAGGAGATGCAGGGATAGAGTTGGAGTCGGAGAGTGTGGAATAAGGTTTAATCTCCGTGGTGCAGTGGTAAGACACTCGCCTGGCGTTCCGCGAGCGCTTTGTCATGGGTTCGTATCCTGGCCGCCAATCCTTAGCTGTAGCCTGTGTTTAACTCAACAGTAAAATGTGTACTTGGTTGTAACAACGATTCTTCGCTGCGGGGATCGTATTCCAGGGACCTGCCCGAAACGCTACGCGTACTAGTACTCACCTAATTGTGCTTGCGGGGGTTGAGCTTTGGCTCTTTGGTCCCGCCTCTCAACTGTCAATCAACTGGTGTACAGATTCCTGAGCCTACTGGGCTCTATCATATCTACATTTAAAACTGTGTATGGAGTCAGCCTCCACCACATCACTTCCTAGTGCATTCCATTTATAAACTACTCTGACACTGAAAAAATTCTTTCTAACGTCTCTGTGGCTCATCTGGGTACTAAGTTTCCACCTGTGTCCCCTTGTTCGTGTCCCACCCGTGCTGAAGAGTTTGTCTTTGTCCGCCTTGTCAATTCCCCTGAGAATTTTGTAGGTGGTTATCATGTCTCCCCTTACTCTTCTGTTTTCCAGGGACGTGAGGTTCAGCTCCTTTAGCCTTTCCTCGTAGCTCAATCCTCTCAGCTCCGGGACGAGCCTGGTGGCATACCGCTGAATCTTCTCTAACTTTGTCTTGTGTTTAACTAGGTATGAACTCCAGGCTGGAGCTGCATACTCCAGGATTGGTCTTACATAAGTGGTATACAGGGTTCTGAAAGATTCCTTACACAAGTTTCTGAAGGCAGTTCTTATGTTGGCCAGTCTAGCATATGCCGCTGATGATATTCTTTTGATGTGGGCCTCTGGGGACAGGTTCGGTGTGATATCAACCCCCAGATCTTTCTCTCTATTTGACTCTTGCAGGATTTTACCTCCCAGATGATACCTTGTGTTCAGCCTCCTGCTCCCTTCGCCTAATTTCATCACCTTACACTTTCCCGAGTTGAACTTTAGCAGCCATTTTCTAGACCATTCCTCCAGTTTATCCAGGTCATCCTGTAGTCTCTGTCTATCTTCATCCGTCTTGATTCTTCTCATAATTTTTGCATCATCAGCAAACATTGAGAGGAATGAGTCTATACCCTCTGGAAGATCGTTCACATATATTAGAAACAGGATGGGTCCAAGTACTGAGCCCTGTGGGACTCCGCTGGTGACATCTCGCCACTCTGATGTCTCCCCCTCACCGTTACTCGCTGTTTATTTATTTATTTATTTATTTATTTATTTATTTATTTATGCATATACAAGAATGTACATAAGGAATGTGAGGATACAAATATGGTAATTACAGTCTTGTAAAGCCACTAGCACGCGCAGCGTTTCGGGCAGGTCCTTAATCTAAGAAAATTTTAAGGAGGTAAATACTTGCAAAGTTTATAGACAAAAAAATGAAAACAGATTACATGGAATGAAAAAAAAAGAAGATTGGTTCTGTTGGTTGTACAAGAATGTAACAACTCTTGTATATTAAAAGAAGAGATTGATGCCTTCTTAACTGGCCAACATGAAGATTGCTGGGAGGATGGACAATGACCTGGATGGACAGGCGGTGTAGAAGGCCAGAAGACAGGGGAGGGCTGAGAAGAATTGGGGCAAGAATGAAGAGGGAGTGAATGAAGGAATGACTGGAATGAAGGAAGACTGGGAAGGACGGAAGAAATGAAGATGTCATTGGACAGAGAACCAGGAGGAAGACTGATTGATAAAGATTAAGCCACCCAAAAGGTGGCACGGGCATGAATAGCCCGTAAGTGGTGGCCCTTTTGAGCCATTACCAGTATCAAGAGCTGATGCTGGAGATCTGTGGAGGTGCGACTGCACCCTGCGTGACGGGAGATGTCTCCCGGATCAAATGGTGACCAAATGGTCAGGAGAAAGGCCCTCTGGCCCAGAATTTAATAGAGTAGATGAGGTGATAGTGGAGGTATCCAGGTCCAAGACCCGGGGCCAGATTCACGAAAGCACTTACGCAAGCACTTACGAACCTGTACATCTTTTCTTAATCTTTGACGGCTTTGTTTACAATTATTAAACAGTTAATGAGCTCTGAAGCACCAGGAGGCTGTTTATAACAATAACAACAGTTGAATGGCAAGTTTTCATACTTGTAAAGTGTTTAATAAATGTAACCAAAGCCGTCAAAGATTGAGGAAAGATGTACACGTTCGTAAGTGCTTGCGTAAGTGCTTTCGTGAATCTGGCCCCTGGAAACGGTTGGGAAACTGAGAAAGTTGAGAGAGGGAGAGAAGTGGATCTCAACACAGGAGCATAAAACATGCCAGAGGAAGAGGGAAGATGGTGTACTTGGCATTTCGCCTCGGGAAAAGATAAAAGCAGTCTCCGTGGTGTAGTGGTAAGACACTCGCCTGGCGTTCCGCGAGCGCTATGTCATGGGTTCGTATCCTGGCCGGGGAGGATTTACTGGGCGCAAATCCTTAACTGTAGCCTCTGATTAACTCAACAGTAAAATGTGTACTTGGATGAAAAAACGATTCTTCGCGGCGGGGATCGTATTCCAGGGACCTGCCCGAAACGCTACGCGTACTAGTGGCTGTACAAGAATGTAACAACTCTTGTATATATCTAAAAAAAAATGATTCTGATGTTTCAATTTGAAGATGGCGTCCTCAAATTCGTAGTGCACACATGTGCAGGAGAAGGTAGGGGTGGGCGTCACTGGAATTGATGCAGTGAGCTTGAGATGAAAAGCACTGTCTTGGAATAACTTGAGTATCCACACAAGGGGCATAGAGACACGACACTTATGCATTTGAGGGAACCATTCCCAAATTCCCAGCACCTATTCCAGAGGCAAGGAGAGCAGGGGCCAGATTCACGAAAGAACTTACGCAAGCACTTACGAACCTGTACATCTTTTCTCAATCTTTGACGGCTTTGTTTACAATTATTAAACATTTAATGAGCCCCGAAGCACCAGGAGGCTGTTTATAACAATAACAACAGTTGAATGGCAAGTTTTCATACTTGTAAAGTGTTTAATAAATGTAACCAAAGCCGTCAAAGATTGAGGAAAGATGTACACGTTCGTAAGTGCTTGCGTAAGTGCTTTCGTAAATCTGGCCCCTGATGTACTCCGGAACAGAGCATCTTGGGACCAGCAAGACTTACGGAAGACGGAAGGGACCTACTATCAAAAGTGATGTTCATTACACAAAGAGACTATAGCCATGACGAGGAAGGGGGTGGGACAGTAATTTGGAAAGGAGTGATCTTCCATGGGGGCAGGAAATTATTCTTATTGTCTCTCTTGGTAGAGGTGATGAAAGTTATACATTCTGAGCACATTGCCAGTTACGGCAAGCCATTTGGAGGGATGCTGACCTTCAAGGAAGAAGGCTTGGAGGGCTTCAGTGCAGGGGTTAGGCTGGGTTAGCCTAAGCATCTTGATGTCAACTGAAGCATTAATTTCAGTGATACGATCACTTACACATGAAATATTCAGTTCCTTCCTCATATTTAGTAATTTAGTTGTACGGGGACATCCTAGAATTATCCTCATGGCTTCCTTTTGCATCTTTTCCAACCCTCCAAGTATTCTCTCAGGCACTAGAGCAAGCATGGGTGCAGAATAATCAATCAGAGACCATATGAGAGATACATCATTTTTGACAATTCTCACATTTGCACCATAGCTTGAATGGTCGCCTGCCACAGCCTTGAGCCTCTCTCTCTCTCCATTGCGGTACAATGGAGCCTCAAAACCATTATATTTGTATAATGAGATCATTGTATCTGGTTACATAGTCGAGTAGAGAGCCATCATCCAACTCCATCGCCCACTAAATGTAATTTTTGGACCAGAAATGCTATGCGTACTAGTGGCTTTAGGTATTATATGTACTAGATCTATCTATAAATTTATTTATTTTATTTATTTATGTATATACAGGAAGGTACATTGGGTTTGAGAGAATACATAGCATAGTATTTACAATCTTGTAAAGCCACTAGTACGCGCAGCGTTTCGGGCAGGTCCTTAATCTAACAGAGAATTTTAAGTAAGTAAATTCTAGCAGAATTATTAAAATTATAACAGATATATTGCAAGAAAAAAATGGTAAAAAAAAAAATTTAATCAGAATGTTTGTAACTGCATCTCTGTATGTACTTTGCCTAAATAAAATATTATTATTATTATTATTATTATTATTATTATTATTATTATTATTATTATTATTATTATTATTATTATTATTATTAGTAGTAGTAGTAGTAGTAGTAATATTAATATTATTATGTCATAGGAGTCTACCCAAAAACTGGCGACTGGTTTTGTGCGTTCGATCGCGTTTGTGGTCCTTCAGCTGGGAAATAACAGCCGTCATGCTTATAAAGGCCTCATTATGTCTATCACATTACTCACCTTCATTTAATAAATATATGCTTGTTACGTAGAAGATTTTTAACTGTTAATATCATTAAATTATGAGTTATTAATATTAACGAAATCCTCTTTATACGAAACTTGCCAATGTTTATGTGCGATTCGTACCTGTTGTGTACGAAGTGACTCGCATCATATACGGGTAAAATATTAATAAAATACGCCATAAAAAGCCTTAATAGTTATATAACACTAAAGTGCAATAAAGTAGTTAAATTTAATATATACTGGCGATGAGGTAGAGGTAAATTCAGGTAAAGGGATGAGTGTTGTAAGGAGCCTTGACGGACTGACGATGCAGATTCCTATAAAAGTGTAAGTTTATATCTATTTTATACATATATATCTAGTTTATATCTATTATATATATGTATACAAGAGTTCTAACATGGTTGTAAAGCCACTGGCACATATAGAGCTCCAGGGAGGTCGTTAATGTGTAAATTACTGTTAGGTGAACAATTATGGTTTGGTGCCCAGTCAATCCTTCTCCCCCCCCCCGGCCAGGATACGAACCCTAGACGAGTGCTTTACCGCTGCGCCACGGCTCTGAACCCCTTGTTCTTGTCTCCGGGGGTCGGGGGTTCGAGCCTGCTAGTGCCCAATACCTCTATTCACGAAGTATCGTTTATTTCTCTTTTCTCCGCTTTACGAAGGTTCTTAAGAGCGTCAAAAGACCAATTCGCACGATTCACCGAAGTGATTGTGCTCGGGGATTAGCGGTTTTGACGTAATTCACTTAATCGCATCTCGTCCTCGTAAAAATAGCGCGCGTAACGTCGCTTTCCGCTCGTATGCGAGCTGTATGCTGTATAAAATTTATATGTATCTATGTAATGAATATGTATCTATGTAATGTATATGTGTCCATGTATATGTATCTAAATTGATGTACGGTAATTTGAAATGAAATCGGCTCAGGAAAGTGACGTCCCGTTTTCTGTTCGAGTCGTCCGGCTTACTCGGTTAGGTTAGGTTAGGAAAACTTTCTTAAACTTTAAAACTTTAAGAGGAAAAACTTTAAAAACTTTAAAAAAAGCTTCTTAAACTTTAAAACTTTAAGAGGAAACTTTCAATTAATGTTTTTCATGACTTTTGAAACCATAGGAGAATTTCCTGCCCCTCTTAACCTACCACAGGACCTTTAACTTATTGTTTTGGGAAAAAAATCCAAATTTATTCTCAATTTTTTTTTTTTCAAATTACGTCCAATAATTTGGACGTAATTTACAGTAATTACGTCCACAATCGACTGGAGAATGGTCCAGGACAGACCGAAACGTCGTCGTCCCTTCACCTTCTAGTGTGTGGTCTGGTCAACAAATTACGTCCATTTTCGGGCAAACGGCCAAATTCAGACGTAGTTTGTAAGAGGACAGGTTGATTCTCGATAGATGTCACTGGTGGTTTTTCGTGTGGCCAATCGGAGAGAAGGTAACCTTTTCATCTCATTGTTTAGCCAATCACATTGCTGGATCAGATGTAGGTGTGACCGATCGCACAATAAATTGACTTTAACGTACCTACTGTTTTTTTCTGTCAAATTTCTTATTCAATGTATTTTTTTTATATCTTTTTACAATGTATTTTTATACTTTGTTACAATGTACCTATAAACTATTTTTTTTTTTAATTTTGCTATAAATTACTTTCTTAAAATTATTTGTTAGATTAAGGATCTGCCTGAAGTGCTATACATGACAGTGGCTTTACAAGAATGTCAAACTTCAAGTCTCTGTACTCTCATGAACCCAATGTACCTTTTTGTATATAAATAAATAAATAAATGTATGTCCGGAGACTGGCAATTGTGATTTTGCTCGAAATGCCCGAAACGCTATGCGTACTAGTGGCTTCAGGTATTGCATGTACTACCTCTATCTATAATTCCAACATTATGTTTGTAACTCCCCTGGAAACACAAACCGTAACTGTCTCTATTTTCCGCTTGTTACAACTTGTAATAAAGTTGTTACATCTTGGCTTAACGTGTTTATGACGTATTAGAACGTTGTTACAACTTGTTATATTGGTTGTTATAACTGGCTAGGAGGTGTTAAAACTTGTTCGAACGTTGTAGCAACGTCTTACTTTCGGTGTGTGTTTGGTGGGTAATCCTCTATGTATGTACTTTTACCTCAATAAACATTTGATTTGATTTGATTTTGATATGGTAGTCCAGTTTAAAGTATCTGTGCACTAGCAATATATAGACTATGTCTTTGCTCACACACTATGTATCCTCATAATCCCAATGTACCTTCTTGTATATATATAAATAAATAAATAAATAAATAAGATATATTCCTTGACGTGTGGTCGTAATAAAGTTTATATTTATATCAATCAGATGGTATATAAATTGTTAAGTATTGTTAACAAATTTATTTATACATTTATGTATATCTTGAGGTTATCTTGAGATGATTTCGGGGCTTTAGTGTCCCCGCGGCCCGGTCCTCGACCAGGCCTCCACCCCCAGGAAGCAGCCCGTGACAGCTGACTAACACCCAGGTACCTATTTTACTGCTAGGTAACAGGGGCATAGGGTGAAAGAAACTCTGCCCATTGTTTCTCGCCGGCGCCTGGGATCGAACCCAGGACCACAGGATCACAAATCCTGCGTGCTGTCCACTCGGCCGACCGGCTCCCCGGTCGGCCGAGAAGGACATACATATACAAGAAGGTACATTGGAGAGTTAAGAGAGTACAGAGCAATGATGATTTTACATTCTTGTAAAGCCAGTAGCAGGCATAGTGTTTCGGGCAGGTCCTTAACCTAACACATAATTAAAAATAGATAATTTCCAGCAAAATTGACAAAAAATTGTTTACAGGTTCATTGTAAGAAAATTTAACACAATATACAAAGATTAGATTTAAGTAATTAACATTATATTTGTTATCTTTCCTGCTCCCATCAATCAGGTGTCACCTGTGGGTGTTGGGGAAAAAAAATGAGTTAATAGTTAGTAACAGTTGATTCAGTGACAGTCGAGAGGCGGGCCGAAAGAGCAGAGCTCAACCCCCGCAACCACAACCAGATGAATACAACTAGGTGAATACCTGTCACCTATTTACGTCTTGTGTTCTTATAGAATGATTTGATTTGTTTTTCTCAGCTTCTAGGCTCGGCACAAACATTGTAGTAAAGAAATAGTGTATATTTTTCTTTGCCTATATAATTCTAAGAGATATTACGTGGCTTCATTGGCGTTGTTTAATTGAATGGTCACCAAAAAACCCCTCATTAAAACATGCGTATCTTTGACTTACACATATTCCTTATGATGACTTCATAATGACGTATAACTGTTATCCTGGTCACATAATAACTTATAACTGTTATCCTGGTCACATAATAACTTATAACTGTTATCCTGGTCACATAATAACATATAACTGTTATCCTGGTCACATAATAACTTATAACTGTTATCCTGGTCACATAATAACTTATAACTGTTATCCTGGTCACATAATAACATATAACTGTTATCCTGGTCACATAATAACTGATAACTGTTATCCTGGTCACATAATAACTTATAACTGTTATCCTGGTCACATAATAACTTATAACTGTTATCCTGGTCACATAATAACTTATAACTGTTATCCTGGTCACATAATAGCTTATAACTGTTATCCTGGTCACATAATAACTTATAACTGTTATCCTGGTCACATAATAACTTATAACTGTTATCCTGGTCACATAATAACTTATAACTGTTATCCTGGTCACATAATAACTTATAACTGTTATCCTGGTCACATAATAGCTTATAACTGTTATCCTGGTCACATAATAGCTTATAACTGTTATCCTGGTCACATAATAGCTTATAACTGTTATCCTGGTCACATAATAGCTTATAACTGTTATCCTGGTCAAATAATAACTTATAACTGTTATCCTAGTCGCATAATAGCTTATAACTGTTATCCTGGTCGCATAATAACCTATAACTGTTATCTTGGTCGCATAATAGCTTATAACTGTTATCCTGGTCACATAATAACTTATAACTGTTGTCCTGGTCGCATAATAACTGATAACTGTTATCCTGGTCACATAATAACTTATAACTGTTATCCTGGACGCATATAAAACTTTAAGTACTCTTAGCAGCTCTTGGAAGGTTGATAAACGGGTCATACTGACAAATACTGTATGTGTATATATGTGTATGTATATGTGTATGTGTATATATGGTTTTATAATTATAGCTTGTGATTCGGACTTTCTTGAGACATAAGCCATTTATTTTTTAACATGTCTAGAACATAAAATGAAATGAAAAATATGATAAAGTGAATGATTACGGGTAAAGTCAAGCCTTACAGCTTCTTTCATGATTTTGATGTATTACTGTACTAGTTAACTATGTAACGTGGTGTAATGTATATTGATTGATATTCGTTTGATTATCTTTTAGATTAAGGACCTGCCCGAAATGCTATGCGTGCTAGTGGCTTTACAAGAATTTTTTATTTATTTACTTTTTTTTTTTTTTTTTTTTTTTTGAGATATATACAAGAGTTGTTACATACTTGTAGAGCCACTAGTACGCTTAGCGTTTCGGGCAGGTCCCTGGAATACGATCCCCGCCGCGAAGAATCGTTGTTACAACCAAGTACACATTTTACTGTTGAGTTAAACAGAGGCTACAGTTAAGGATTTGCGCCCAGTAAATCTTCCCCGGCCAGGATACGAACCCAGGACAAAGCGCTCGCGGAACGCCAGGCGAGTGTCTTACCACTGCACCACGGAGACTGGAGGAATGTAAAATATCAGTGCTTTCAGGAGTATCAGGAAAATATCAGGAGTGTAAAATATCAGTGTACTGGAGTACAGTACAGAGCACTGTAATCCAGTATACTACAATACAGAGCACTGTACTTCAGTATACTACAGTACAGTGCACTGTACTCCAGGTGAGGTTAAGTCAAGTTTGTCTTTATTACTTAATGTTTTATATTTCCCTACATCTTATATGGGTAATTAATTTCAATCTATAAAGAGTACTAAACAGTATATGAATGGGGGAAAATATTGTATAAAGTTAGGGTAAGACTTATTCTGATTCCCATTCTCATTGGCCTGGTCTTCAGGACTGTATTTGTTGCGGGTTGAACAATATAATATATAGGCCTGTAATCACTAACATGCCATTCACTTAGCTTGAAGTTATCTTGAGATGATTTCGGGGCTTTAGTGTCCCCGCGGCCCGGTCCTCGACCAGCCCTCCACCCCCAGGAAGCAGCCCGTGATAGCTGACTAACTCCCAGGTACCTATTTTACTGCTAGG